TGGTGGGAACAGCTTGAGGTGGACTTGACCCAGGTGCGTCGCGCGTGTATGCGCATGGCAAAGCTGTATGAGAACAACGCCGCGCATCGAAACGGCCTGTACTACTTGACCAACCCCATCAGCACAGACGAGGGTACTGAGAAGACCAGGATCCCCCGCGTGGATGGCCCGGCGGACAACACGACACGCCCGATCGATTCCGGGCATGAGGCAGACGCTGTCAACGGTCGGAAGCGCTCGCGGGACCCCGACGATGAAACGAAGCCCCCACGCCCTTTGGCCGAATCGATACCCCCGTCAGAGACAGGGTCAGCGACGCAGAACGGTGCCCCATCCCCAAAACGACCCCGGAGGGACTCAGTAGGAGCATCCGCTGACCGGGTCCCGTCATCTCGTATTCCAAAGGCGCCTTTCCCCAGCGGCGGGCCGGCCTTCTCCCACGACCGCCCTTCTGCGAACGGGCACGCCCCTCCAGCACATCATTCACACCCGCTCCCTGCGACCAGACACCCGCATCCCTTACCACCGCCTCCCCGGCCTTACCCTCGACGGGACAGCGGCAGCCGGCCCGGTGGCGGGCCTCCGGGGCTGCCTGTCGATCCGATTCAGCAACGGATCGACGAGATCGTGCAACAGAACATGCCCACTCAGGGCGGTGGACCCGGCAGGGCAGAGCGACGGCCTCAGGAACGGCATCGGGGCGATTGGGAGGCTGAGGCCGACTCGGGGCGACGACGACGACCATCCATTTCCACAGGAGGTCTGCCACCGTCGCAGGAGGATGCACATCCATATCCACCTCCTCAGCACCTCCCGCCGCCGCCACCTCCGGAAGAAGAATCCTGTCCGCTGTCGCAACCCGAGCCGCCTCAGGCCCCGGAACCGGAGGAGGACGAGGGAGGTGGCAGCGAGGAGGGCGAGCTATGATGGTTTCACCTTTGAATGAGGAGACGAGCGAGCCCATTCATGAATGATGGGGCCTGACACCTACATACATAACCATTTCGGTCGAGGGCGTCAGAAAATGCACCCGACACATTCCTAATTATCCTCCGACGGGGCCTGGGAGGCCGAGCGAATCTGCAAGGGCACGAACACCCCCCACAGAGTGAGAGAGACACATTACAGAGACACAGAGAGACAAGGGGACGAAGATGAAATGAAACCATGGCAAAGATGGGGGATGATTAGCTGGGAGAACTGACCCCCAAGAAACACGCCAGATCTGTAGTTAATCTATATCTTCTACCGTTGAATTAAGAACGATCATCGTGGACAGAAGTCCTTGATCACAGTTTTCATCTCCGGGGGGCTGCAGGACTGAACATCACCCGGGCCGGCCTATGACAGGGAAGCAACCATGGTTGCGCAACAAACCCCTTGCAGCCGGACTGGCCGTCAAGGTCCCAATGGGATGGCTCCGTCACACCAAGGCGAGTCAAGCAACACTGCAGGTGGACTTTTGGCATTTGGCAGGAGACATACCAGTCGGATTCTTTGTCCGCCGTGGCTGGCTGAAGCCCAGCTGCGCCCACTGGACTCTCTTATGTGCTGTTGGGAATGCTTGACATCACGACCCGCCCTGCGTCTTGGGAATCAACGTTCATGGAGAGAATGTCGGCTTGGCCACCCAGCCAACAAAACCCTCTCGCCATCGTCTTCTTTCTTCGGGCGAACAAGAAATTTTCGAGCGGCCCGTCTGTCAGTTTCAGTTGAACCAGCCAATGGGCACCCCGTTATGGCCACATAGCTCCCCTGTCGAAGCCAAGATGCACCCGGCTCCCGCGACGACGGACCGGCGACGCAGCTGTCGCTTTTGCCGCAGTCGCAAGCTCCGCTGCTCAAGCGCAAACGTCTGTAGCGCCTGCAAGGATCGCCAGATCGAATGTGTTTATGATCAGGGCGGCCCCAAAGGTCGTCCCCGGGTCTCTGGGGCGCGCACCACCGGCCGTCTGGTAGCTGGCCAGCCGGGGCCCGAGCCCGCCATGAAACAGGCTCCCTGGACATCACCCTCGAGTCCGTCGTCCGCCTCGGCCGGCCAGCTCTTCTCGCCGCGTCTCAAGAGCGTTGCCGATGCTCTATCAGAGGTGACCGCTGAAATTCAGGAGAAGTTACATGGTCAAAGGGTTGATGGGATGCCATGGAGCCAGGCCGGTTCTCCTCGCCAGCAGCCGGCTAAGCTGGGCTGTCGCGAGCTCATCATGGTGCTGACCCAGGATATCATCGATGCTACAGTGGCCCGTTTCAGCGGACTCGACTGCCTTGCTTTCTTCACTAACCAGAGCCAATTCTTTCGAGCCAACCTGGCGTCCAGTCCTCCTTCCGAACCGTCCCCTGCGCTCGAGCCGGCGCCGCTAGCCTCATACAACGGATACCGTATCACCCAGCTCTTAGACGTATGGTTTGGCGCACACCCGTTGTCCATGGCCCTTTCCAAGACGCTGCTGCTGCGTGACGTCCGCAGCAACTCCTACGACCCGCTGCTCCTGGCCGTCGTGCTAGGGGGCGGTCTGCAGGAGTTGGAAGATACAGACGCCCAGGTGGAATCCGAGCAACTCTTGCACTGGGCAACGTCTCGCCTACAGTATGTTTCGACGGCGGCAGCCGACTTGTCGACCGCGCAGGCGCTCAGCTTGCTGGCCTGGCACGAGACATGTCAAGGAAACATTATCCGAGCAATGTCCTACAGCATATACGCGAACCGTACCGTAACCCGCCTGACAATGGACGCTTTGACCCGGTCCTCACACGATGTCCGACAGATCAACGGCGTCGACTTGGCTCAGATCGAGTTGGAGATGATGCACATCCTGGGGTGGATGACTCTCGCATTGATGGTCTGGTATTTTACACATTTGGGGATTGTAGATGACAGTCTGCCAGCGCTCGCGATGATGTATGAGCACCCGCCCATGAACAAGGACGCGTCCTTGGTGTTACGACTCGACAAGGCGGCCGACAACTTGTCCACGCTCCCTCACCAGTGGGCCTGGATCCAGGAAATCTGGACCATCAGCCACATCACCTCCGCGGCTGTTCACCTCAACTCAATCTACCCGCGTCAGGCTAGTGGGCCCACGTCACCCATAGCTCATCCTCACCACTCCTGGCAAAGTCAGCTACACGAGCAATTGCGCAACATCCAGCTCTACAAGGTCGACATTGGCAATTTGTGTAACGAGGCCCGCGCTGTCCTGGCGCGCAATGTGCAGATCATTGAAGCCAATATGGAAGACCAGGTCGCCCAGACATGGATCCTCACCGCGTACCGCACTTTGCTCATCCACCTGCTGTTCCCCCGCATGGAAACCATTACGGTCACAGCCGATCTTGTCCAAAACCTCGCCGACTGTCTCGCCTTTTTTGCGCGCAGCTTCCCCGTCCTCGTCCTCGTCTCCACCACTCAGGCGCTCCCTCGATCGAGCATTCAGTCGTGTGTTCGCTCCTACATGGCTGGTCTGGCCGCCTGCGGCAGCGCCATCGACGCGCTCTTCCTGATATCACCCAAACAACTCCAATGCTGGGAACCGGAAATTCTGCAGGGCTTAGCCCGACTACTTGACCAAGCGACAAAGCTAGACACAATCTTCACAGATGATACACTATTGACAGACTGGCGGTGGCGAAATGTACAAGACCGATTCCACCGGTTATCCAAGTACAAAACGGAGCTGCAAAGCGTACCAACCGGATGGGATGGCATTCCCATGCCTATCAGGCCGGCGGAGCGACAATTATCATCCTCCTCCCTGCCCGCAGTGACCGCGGCGGTGGCGGCAGAGCCGACAGAGCCGGCACCCACACCCATAGTGCCTCTGTACACGGCTACTACTGAATTACCGTATGTGCCGGGATACAGCATGCCAGTCGCACCTTCGACGTATGAAGAAACATAGCATTAGACAGTTATCCTTGGGGTTTAAGTTACATATGGCGTAACGGATGGGACGAAATGAAACGAGGTAGGACGGAGTAAACCGCACATGGATTGTTTGATTCCCTGTGGATACATCATAATTATCATCTTCATTAGGACGGATTATATTGAATCGAAATGCATATTCAAAATTAGATCTATACCGCTTCCTTTACCACAGTTCATCCCAACTAACCTTCCTACCTTCCCACCACCACCAACCTTTTAGTTCTCCCTTCACTAAAGACATCCGCGACTATTTAGTGACAACTAAGTAATACTAGTAGAGCAAGGTGAAATCCAGGTCACTTAAGTAATAAACCTATTCTTATTATTAATCATGTCTCGCCATCTGCTTCAATCTGGGATAACAGAAATTGTAGGTATAGTAAGTTAGTCATCTGATAGTTGGTTAATAGGTTAGACTTGTAACCATAACCATCAACACTTCTTTCCTTAGACTTACTTATATGAACCAAGAATTACTTGATCTGTTTGTTCATCCATCCTAGATTTCAATGACCATGAAGAAATACTAGATACTAAACTAAATACTTCAATGAGTACGATTTAAATTGAAAAATATAGGTAAATAAATAAATAAATAGAATAAAATAAAGGTATGTAAAGTTTAAGGTTAAAACTCAAGATGAGTTAGGAAATCTACTAACCTTATACTACCTTTGCCTGTCGGATACAAATGTTCAAGTTTAAACTTTATATTTCCATATCAATGATGTTGGGGGTGGATCTAAACTAGCCTAGCACTAGTAGTTATGATTGAAGATAATTTTACTAGTTAGTTGTCTATTTATTTACATGAGATTTAGTATTATTTCGATAGACGAATACTACTACTCACTGGGTTTGAGGGTAGATTAAGCGATCGTCTTATGTACTACTGCTATAATACTATACGTCAGATTCATGATGTTTTTATTCATTGTTGATGTTTTCGCGATCTAGTGGAGGGAGGGAGTGTTGGATTCGCGACTTTACTTTGGCTTGTATTTCATGCTTCTGTATTATTCTTAAAGCCATGTATTGTATATATATACTTCCCCTTTCTACAACAATATACTATCTATCACCAATCTATTATAAATCTGGTTCTTCATTCACACCTCCACATCCCCCAACAACCACCCCCCTTCCCTACTTCCCAAACCACCCACCAAATGCGCCTCTCCCAACACTCCCTTCACGACCAACACCATCTCATCTACGGTGATCAAAAACCCAAAGTACGCACTCGCAGCAACACAGAACCGTCTATACCCTTCATCGCGCATCATCTCACCCGAAATAACCTGCTCTTCCTGACCATGCCGACCTCTCGACCAATTATCCACTGCCTGCTTGAACAACGGCGTCGGAAGGATCTCCGGTAACGCGTCGCCCGTTTTCAGGGCCTGTTCGCAGAGACCCATCACCGCCATGACCTGGCCGATGAGGCGGTGGTCCAGGAGTCCCGTCTGACGGGCTAGTTGCTCTTGGAATTCCTGAGGTAGGGATGAAGAGAGGAGTAGGAGGCGGCTGAGCTGGCGGTTGAGGCTGCGGCAGAGGGAGTTCACTTTAGCGAGGGAGGCGCTGTCGAAGCGCGAGCTGGAGAACTCGAACCCGAGGAGTTTGATGGGTCCGTCGAGTGCGACGAGGGTTTCGGCGAGTTGCAGGGAGAGAGGTTCGGCGAGCCTCCTACCTTCGGTGGAGTCTTGGGCCCAAACGGTGAGGAGGAGGGCGTAATGCGTGGATAGGGTGCGCATGGCGCGGGAGAGGGTTTTACAAACGTGTCGGGAGGCCGATGGTGGCCGGGGGAGGATTTGCAGGATGGCGGATGCGGCGACGCCGACGAGGACGAGGAGTAGACGTCGCCAGAAGACGTTGTAGCCTACTCCTGGGTTGCCGTATTGGGGGATGTGGCTGGGAAGTTATTAGTGGGTGGTTTGATAAGATTGAGGGGAAACTTACGTATCGTCGTAGCTATACGCGATGACTAGCAGAAATGTGGCTCCACCGATGATACCTCCCTGCATCAGGGCCGGCGGCAGATATAGTCTAATCCAGACAAGGATGACTAGGATTGCGGCGGTGATAGCAGACAGCCCATACGGATTGCCCGGACCATTTGCGGAGCCAATATACCAAGCCAGCAGCCCCAAAACTCCGCCGATGACGGTTCCAATGACTCTTGCGATCAAGGAGAAGGTAAAATCCGCCATGTACACGAGCAGACCCGTCTGCCCCATAATCAGCGCCCAAAGTCCCTTCGCACGGTAGTAGAAACCCGCACTGTGAGGGATCACGCCCGGAATGCCCAGGGCGATCGTGACGACAACCATACGTATGGCATACAGGCCTTCATCGCAGGTAAACCAGTGGTAGGTTCCCAGGATGGCTCGACTGAGAGGAGGGCGTGGCTTCGTGCGGAATCCGCGGGTAACACGCAGCTTCTCTTGTGCTGCTTTGGTAACGTCGTCGGCGCTGACGCGATCCGGATCGTCTTCGGTACCCTCGGACCCTGGTGCCTTGACCTCATTCGACGAGGCCCATGATGCGGCGTATCTGAACCGGGTTGGCAGGTATACGCGGATCTTAGTTGATTCTTGGAAGACCGTAGATACCCGCGCGAGCAGTGCCTCGGTCTTCTGCACGGTGTTGGAAATGTGCTCCTCGAAGACTAAAACGAACATGAGTGGCCGGAAGTGATGGGCTTCGTCAAGTGTCTGTTTTTCGTGTTGTCTGATCAGGATGTCGCTCATTTCATTGATAAAGACCGAACGGGCCTTGTTTAATGCCTCAAGTGCCTTCTCACAGCGTTGCTGTAGCTGCTCGCGCTCAGCCTGGGATGGCCTTTTGAACCAGCGCCGACAATTCACCAGGTGAATACACTCTTGCACGACGCTCAGCCCCTCTGCACAGGCATCTATGGCGGTCGCGCTTGTCTTGACTAGCTCTTGGACGACCTCCTTGCGCAGCGGGTGGCTGTCCGGGCTGCGGAATCCATCCAGCAGTTGTGCAAGCTGTGTGAGCTGATGCGCGCCAACCTCGCGCGTATGTTTCTCATCCTCGTCCGGAGTCTTATCAACATACTTACGCAGCACATCCTGCGTGCGAGCCTCTCCCACGATCCGGCCAATGTGAAAGTCGAGAAGGGATAAAACTGCAACAAGTACGTCTCGCAAATGGCCCTGGAAGGAGGCAACATCTTCAGCCCCCCAACAGCCTACAGAAAAGTCCAGAGGCAGGAACGCTAAGGATGGTTCCATGCTTTTATATTTCTGGATGATCCCACCCTGTGTCATGCGCAGATCGTCGGGATTCGGTTGTTCTTCCTTCTTGCAGAGTGTATTTGCTGTCATTGCTAGTGGAACTTGGAGGAGTCGGACGATATCCTCCATACTATCCAAAACCACATGCGATGTCGATTGAGGAAAGAAGAGGATTGAGCACGCTAGACCGAGCCCGACCCCAATTGCGGCAGGTTTGACGAGAGTTAGGGGTAAGGTTCCTGAGAAAGAGGGTAGAAGTGGAGTGTAGTTCAGGAAAAGATCCGAGATGATAATGCCAAATATAGCCGTCAAAGTTGCTTTGGGATTGCTGGCCCGAAGACGCGCCTGTAGATTCAGTATAGCCCATTGCCCTTAATCGGAGAATTACCTACCATGAAATAAACAAAAGTGCAGATGAGGCAAAAGGTCACGGCAGTGACGCGCGCATCTAGCATGTACCCTTCGTAAACCAATCGCTGCGCTATTTCAGTAGCGGAGTAGGTCGAGTTCTGGGCCTGTGACACAGCCGTCTGCTGCAGGGCGGCCACTTTAGCCTGCGTTTCGGCCGCTGGTCTAGCTGCCTGAGCAGCCTTCATGGTGATGACGCCCCATGCCCAAGCCAGACAGATACCGATGAACAAGGACAGCGCACCCAAAAGATAGACGAATACGATTCCGGATGGAGGTAGAAACAATAATACGAGACTAAATCATATTCAGCATATCAATGCGACCCATGCATTGGGACAGATGCATACGCTGCGAAAAAGGTTGCAGTGCCGATGCTTTCCAGCGAGGGATGGATGAAGATCAACAAACAAGCCACCCAGACGGCGACCCAGCATCGAAAGAAGATCTTGAGATCGCGACCATTGAAATGGTCCAGAAACGGGGGTAACCGGCGTTTCTTCTCAGCAATGGCGGGAGGAGCACTGTCCGAATCCGACCATGTCGGGGGGGATTCCTGCGTGGTTCGTTCGTCGGCCATGATGGCCTCGGGCTGTTTTGCTTGGCTTTAAATGGCCCACGTGGGCATGAGGGCTGGTGGAAGAAAAGAAAGAAGATTTAGAAAAGAGAGTCGAGAAAGGGAAGCAAAGAAGCAAGGGATGCAAATAAGAAACGAACGACGGAGACGGAATCAATGCACGAGGGAAGAGGTTGACAGGCCCGGCGTCGATCAAGAGGGGAACCGATTGGCATTATGAAGGCCCTGCGGGCAAATATGTGGCGCCGCAAAAGGAGTGACCATTATCGCAATTAGAGTTAAATAGATCGGTTGATCTGAACCAGGGCCGTTGGTCGTTCCATGGATGGTCCGACGTGTCCGGAAGGTTTTTGCCTGAAGGATTGCCGAGGATGAGCTGGAAAGGAGGTTATGCAGGACCTTCTGATGCTGATGCTGATGCTGATGCCATTGGCGTCCTGTTCCTCCATGTCATTACTGCAAATTCTCTGCTCGACAGCAGAACAGGGATGGTGGACTTGCCGAGCCAGTGATCGACAGAGGGTTGGTTCATAGTGACGCCCATGGATTGACACTGATTCAGCGGTGGAGCCGAAACTGGACATGACCCGAATCCGAGGCGAGTCTGGAACTGCAGGAGACTATCTGACGAGTATAGATAGGTCGCTGTGTGGTATGATGGTCGATGCTGCTATCTACCCCAGTTCTCCACTCTTAAGGGTCCATACTATTGTCCCTGTTGCACGTGTCTTTTGAGTCTGAAGAATCGCAATTAGTGTCTGGATATGTGCTAACCTCCCCTGAATGCCCTTGGTGAACATGACATACCAGACTTAGGTGAAGAGAAACCTTGGAGCTTGATACCAGGATGGGTGCAATGGGTAAGGGACGATGAGAAGTTCTTGTGTGCTACAGTGACATACTAAAAGGGGTCTGTTTGCGCTGTATGTCTGCTCTGTCTACGGGCGTGATGCCCGACCGTCACTTCTCAACCCTCAGAACTACAGCTGCGCAATTTCAGGAGTACAGGCACTAAAAGCCGAAATTCATATTAAAATTGCTGGAAAACGCTCATCTTAAGCATCGCACAATCGCATCGAAAAGTATGCACAATGCTTGACCACCAGTCAAATTCTATTTGTATGCTCTCTTGCCAACCAGTTACACCCCGTTCATACCATCATACCATTATCCAGCAAGCTGCTCGACGCCACAAAGCTAAATCCGCCGAAAAGCTCGCCCTCACCGGGGTGACTGGCTGGCGGACCGGGAACATAATGGTCGTCAAACGCATGCACGATCGGACTCAGGGGCAGCTGCGTGAAATCCATCGAGAAGTTCTCCGCCAGGGCTGGGTCCGTCACCACCGGATTGATCGGAGGCGCCACCTCCCGTCGCTCCAGCGCCTTCCAGTCGATCTTTCGGAAGAAGCGGTGGTTCTTAATCGTCTGCAAGTCCTTGGGCATGTGGTAACCCAACCGCTTCGACGGCTCCTTGCGAAGCAGTCGGGTCAACAGGTCCTTGGCATCGGGGCCCAGGAAATAAGGCAGAGCCAGCTTCTGTTTCACAATTTTCTCCTGCAGCTTGGCGTTGTTGTTGGCCTTGAATGGAGGGGATCCGGTAAGCAAGTCGTAGCCCAGTGCGCCCAGTGACCACCAGTCACAGGCTTTGCCGTACGACTTGCCCTGCACGACCTCCGGGGCCATGTACTCGATCGTACCCAGCGAGGAGTTGCAGCGGTCGTCATCGTTGATGGCAATCTTACTGAGCCCAAAGTCCGTCAGAAGCAGATGGCCCTCACTGTCCAGTAGGCAATTTTCCGGCTTGAGATCGCGGTAGATGACCCCGACGTTTTGGTGGAGGTGTTCAAGGGCCAGCACCATTTCCGCCATGTAGAATGCAGCCGCATCCTCGTCAAACATACGCTCCATAGCTAGATGCGTAAACAGCTCGCCGCCCTCCGCGTACTCCAGGATCAGATACAGTTTCTCGTGGTCCTGGAATGCGTAGAATAATTTGACCACAAAGGGGTGGCGGTTGACACTCTCCAGAATGGTGCGCTCGGTCTTGGTTTGTTCGACAAGCTTCTTGTGAACGGTAATCGACGCCTTGCGAAACTGCTTTTGCGCGTACAGCTTGCCCGTGAGCACATGGCGCACCAGCAATACAGTACCGAACGACCCCTTCCCTAGGCACAGGAGGGGCTCAAAGTCATCAGTGGTCATCTTTCGGCACAGCTGGGTACGCATATCCCGCACGCTTGATGTATTCCGCGAGTCTTCCTCGGCGGCCGCATCGGCGCTAACATAGTCATGCTCTAGAGGCACCTCGTAGCTAGTCAGGACCTCGGTCTGATCACTGTCGGAGCACACACTGGCATTGCTCGGGGTCTCAGCGGGGCCGGCTGGGGTTCCATTGCCAGACAGGCTCATCGAATCAAGCTGGAGTTTCAAAGCGCTCACCCCACAGCCAGCCGCGGGCTGAACCAACGGACTGCCCCCATTAGTTCCAGCACGAGTGCGCGGGTGAGAGCTCGGTGCACGAGAGCTGGCAGCCGATCGGTCCGAGTCTTCATCGGCGGAGCCGCGAGGAGTAAACCCGCGCACGGTCGAAAGGGCTGGGGCGACTTCATGGACTGCGTGCTTTTTCTTCTTCTTGCGGCGGTCGGCCTTCGCGGCGAGAGGGTGTGCGTTGAGCTCTGGAGCCGGGAAGGGATTGCCACCATGAACACCAGGCCCCTTGATCATGGGTCCTTGCTTGCGCTGGGGGCTGCGGGCGCTCATACGAAAGCCGGTTTCCGGAGCGTCGCTCATAGTGATCTCCTTGTGCGAATGCGACATGTCGGCTTGCGGGCTGAACACATCGCTGACCGAGATGTCATCGTGACCAGTAGTATTCGCCGAGGGATCCATTGTGTCGTGAACTTCTTTTCGGATATCTCTCTATTCCCGTAATTGACCAAGCACGATCCAGCAGCCGTCCGATCAGAACGGCAACAGCACGATGCGTAAGCCAAGGGCGATCAAATGCACCCAGGCATCGACAAATCGAGGCACTCCTCTAGTTGAATTCTAGTCAAAGTAATCTAATAACACAAACAGAGAGGTCAGCTTTTTTGTTTTCTTTCCACGCCCCCACACGCATATCCACACACACACGCACGCACGCACAAGCGCGGGGTATGCACAGAAAACCCTAAATTTCCATATGCAAGGGGGAGTCAAGGGTCGATCGGAGCAGCGTACACTTGGTAGCACACAATCCGAGAGGGCTAAGCGACCCAGCAGGGAAGTTACGCGGCAGCCTGCAAGATCTCTCGGATATAGCACCTATTTACCGTCCGCCCTTGTTCAGGACGGACCATGGACCCTAAGCCAGAACACCTTGTCGTCAGAGACGGAGTGAGCGGACGACACGGCCGAGAAGCCAGTCGAAGAGGAAATATCGAGAGACACCGAGGAGGACGAATTCGAGTCGAGGGTCAGCAAACGAGAGCGGGGGAAGCGGATAAAAGCGGACGACGGAATCGAGGGCAGCGCAGACAAGCACATAGAGGAACGGCTAATATGAGGATGGTTGAAATAGCAGGGGATGGAAATAAGTCTCCAGGGAGCAGGCACAAGCGGCACAGCGAGGGTTTAAAACCGGGTGAAGATCCCTTTTATAAGAAGAGAGGGAGAAGGAGAAGAAGAAAGTGAGAGCTGACTTGGATTTGCTTTGGCAAACGGGAAAAGAAAGCTGCCCGGCCTCGGCGCTGAGTGTATTTTTCCCGGCCCGCAGACCAATCAGCGTGTGCCGGTGCTAAGCGACGCTAGACTCAATGGGGCAGGATTACTTCACGTGTTGCGGTCATTGGAGGATGGCACCTGATTGCCCAATCGGGCAATCCGGGGAAGCTGCCTGAGGAACCAGAGCCACGGATACTGTGTACGATGAAGTACTTGAGTGGCTATACTACGGTATGTGTATCTAGAGGGAGGAGAGAAGGAGGAAGGCGTTATCACAGGATCTTGTTATAGAGTTACTTACTTACTGTAGCTTATGCAGGGGTGGTAGATCTACCGACGGGTTATTAACTCCACCCGCTGAACCACTATTTAGTAATTATTATTACTAGAGGTTCAGATCCATCCAAAACCCCCTGCAGCCCTTCATGCATCTCTCCCTTCAAAAAAGGCCTGCGACCGAGTGATTTCCACCCCCGATCCCTCCACGAAGGCCAGCGCACTGGGCTTTTCAACCCGCACCGTCACCCGTTCATTCCCAAATTCCACCGTGACAATGCGCGCGACAAACGTCGCCAAGGCCTCCACCGTCTGGAAAGAAGTGGTTTCGACCCGCTAGTAATTCGTAGGTTGGATTAGCCTAACACCCAGGGAAGAAAAGCACAGAAACATTGAAGGAGAACTCACCTCAGCGACAGCCCGGGTCATGGCTTGGTACGTATTGACCGCCGTAGACCCCCAAGGCAGCTGCCCAGGCCCCTTAAACTCCAGAGAGACAATGACCGCCTGTTTCTCCACCCTCTCGTGGGAGTTGACGCCCAAGATACAGTAGCACCGGATCCCATCAATGCGGAACTCCTCCTCCAGGACGACCGGACAGCGCTCCGACTCTCCCACATCGTCCGTAACAGCCTCGTTGGCCTGACGGTACCCCCACACCGTCACACTCCGGTACTTGAGTCCTTCGTCCGCACGCAGCAACGCCTTGGGAAGATGCAAAGACACCTCACATTGGCCGAACACCCCATCAATAGGCGAAATCGAAGATGAACTGAAAATAGCCGCCAGAGCCTGAGACTGCGAGCCCGCCGAAGCGCTGCTTCTCCGCTGGGTGTTGTGCACATGCGACATCCTACGGACCCCAGCAGCAGTCTCATCCAACAGTCCAAGTCCACAATGAGCCACAATTCCGGCCGTCAAGCGTACATCCTGTCCCACATCACTTGCCAACATCTCGTCACGACGGCTCCCGTCGACACTGATCATTCGGTGTCCCGGGTTCTCGGGGTGCTTGCCCAGGTTACGAATATCCTCCTCGAGACGGCGGTAGAGCTTGCCGTAGTCCAAGGAGAGGGAGACATCGTCGGCAATGGCGGCGGCCACGGCGGAGGAGTAGGAGAGCTTCAGCGATGCCGTGCAAGGCTGCGATTTACCGGAACGGTGCCATGGGTCCGGGGCAGCTGGGAGGGGCAGTTGGATGTTGCGGAGACGCACGCTGTCCAACACCGGAGGGTGGGATGGGATATGGACATTTACGCGTTGATCGGCCATGATGACTGTAGGATGGGTGACAGAGATATGAGAGGAGAGAGCTGGATCTAGTCAGTTCCTGGGGTACGAGCTCGAAGCTGCAGCTGCTGGAGTACCAGACAATCAATGGGCTGTTGTGACGTCAACCAGTAAGCGTGGAAGCCCCAGTCGAACTCTTGGTAGAGATAGCACCAACCAGATAAAGAAAGCTACCACTGCAGTCGCATGGATCAATTGGCCTTCCTGACTTTGAGATTCCGTCCCACCGAGGCAAAATTCTCAGACAAAGAGCTGCGCTGGAAGGAAATTTCGCGTGAGCTGCGGATGACGAGACGATGGCGGGGTTGGGTTTAGCGCGGGGAGCTGCTCTTCATTTTCTCGGGACCCACGCGAGTCACTTATTAGAATGATAATAAACTAGTAACTATGTACCCTACTTCCACGACCAACAAGCGTGGAAATACTATATTTTGATTTGATTGTTGCACTATACACAATATCCCGGGGGGGTGAATTGGTCGACATCGTGGGTGATTACGTTAGATAAAAAAAAAGGCCAAGATCCATCCACATCCGCAGGTTCATCCGTACATTATGTGCAGGAAAGCCGTCCACACCGGCAAAGAAAACACCGACACGGCTGTCCACATACGCCTACTTTTGAAACCTCGAAAAACCTTCCAGTCGGAGCCCGGAACCAGCGGGGCTAGAGATCATGGTCACATCAAGTGATGAAAGCAAGCGCCAGTGTCGTTCCGTTGTCCATGTCAACCAGACACACGCATTCGTATCTGAGGCCGTGTTCAATCCAGAAGCTGACTCCGATTGGGAAATGTCAACTCATCCGGAACGGCAATGAGGGAAACCAGTTCAACAAGAGAACAAAGGGGGAAAGCATGCACAATGGGTATCCGCCATGCGCTGAGGTAACACAACCAACGAGCTAATTACAGACGACTACCAGTATCCGCGGCGGTCGTAAGGCATGTATTCGCCCCGAGGCGGACTACGAGGCCGTCCATAAGGGCGAGGGGGGGCGTACGGGTCATCATAATGGCGAGGTGGTGGGGGTGGGCGGACATCGTAGGGGTCATCGTAGGGACGACGCGGGGGAGGGTAGTCTTCCATCCGAGGACGAGGAGGAGTGCGGCGTCCGTATCCATCCCGGTCATAATAGTCCCTCCGGATTGGGATGGGAGAGCGTTCCCGATAGTGAGCCCGGGGGCTGTAGCCACGCGGCGCAGGGAACCGCCGGTCATACTCATCCATGGGCGGGTAACTCCGACGAGGGGACCGAGATCGGTACGGGTCACGAATGGCACGTTCATCCGGGTAAGTTTGAATCTAGGAAGGGTATGAGGTTTCTCGTTCCACTCAGATCATATGTACCAGTAAAGTTGCTTACATCGGCAATGCAAGTTACGCGAGAGCCTTTGAATTCACGTCCGTCCAGCTTCTCAATGGCCGTCTTCAGGTCGTTGGCGGTCTCGAATTCCACGAATCTTGGGAGCATGTGTCAATGGGGTCCTGTCCGACCGGATAGGAAGTTGAAGAATTAACCCACCCTCTGCCGAGTTCACGGCCAGTTTCAGAGTAAACCACGTCCAAGCCAGACTGACGCGCAAAGTCTTTAAGATCCTAGATAACCCCAGGATGTAAGTCCATATCCAGGTGCAAGAGTGGTACAGTGGTATCCGATGTGTCCGGGAGCCAGCAATTAGAAAAATACAATATGAAAAAACAGGCCAGGAAGGGACCCAAGCGATACAGGGTAGTAGGCGAAGGGATCCTTCGATGACTGCGAGGGCGTTCCATCCTGGACAGGGTTGTCCGGCCTCAGCTCTCAGCTCTCAGAGCTGGGGTTCGACCATGGGAGGCAGCCATCCAGCCTTCCTTTCAGTTAGGTGGGGTCCGAAAGTTGGTTGGTGAACGACCCATACATCATGAGGAGCTGATCATCGTCGCCAGGATTCCCTTGGGCCGTAGGTGGAGGAACATGGAATGGAGTACAGGGAAAGGATGAATTAGGGAACGCAAATCGGCCGAGATGCAAGGCGTCCGGTGGATCCAGAAGGAAGGGGGCTTGGGCTGCTAACCTGCCAACTTGTTTCCGGGAGTCCAGAAACCATCATGCGAAAGATCGTGCGACGCGGACGAGGCATGTTGGGACGGTCCATTGGGCCAGGAAAGTTCTCCTTGCGGCGCGGTCCACGGGCAAATTGCACGGTGAGGCGCTCGCCTTTGAAGTCACTGCCGTCTGCATGGAGAGTTAAGTCAACCATGAAGATCTTTGAATATGGTGCATGCGTTGGTACATACGGAAGGCTAGATAATCGTCCTAGATTAGCATGGTCACGCGACAGCTAGGGAGCAAAACAGGGTGACTTACCAGGTACAACATCTCTAGCATCCATCGCATCCTCGTATTCGATGAAACCGAAGCCATTCATGAGCTTGATCTCTGTAATCTTTCCGGAACCATGGGTGCTGAAATGTTCCTCGATATCCTGTTTAGTCACTGTAAAAGAAACCCACTAATGGCGCCCACCCGGGGCGCCGTGAGTACAATGTCAGCCTACTGCGAATGGTTTTGAAAGAACAAAAAAACCGAGACAACTGGATATGGTTTCGAAGCTACCAACCCAGTATCCGGAAAACTGAGTTTACCGTGACACAAGCAAGGAAGATTGAAACAAAAGGAAGGAAAATCCGCCATCAATCTCCGGAGGGGTGAAAACCTCGGTGACTCAGGGAGGTCAATCCAGACGCATTGCGATCCAGCGGAATATCCCGATTTCTGTGTCGAAGATAGAGGTGGACAAGAAGGGCAACATCCAGAGCGGGTTGAGGAGAAAACAAGGAGACCTAAGGAGAGTTTGTAGATGGCTTCATACCATTGCGGGGGAGATTCCCGAGATAGAGTCGGGTGGACGAGACCTCAGTCATGGCGGGTAGTAGTAGAAGGCGAGAGAGATAGGACTAGCACAGCGCGCACAATGGTCGAGGTGAAATCCGTCCAGGCGGATCAACAAGCAAATCGCAGTCGCAACGCTTCTGGCCTTTGCGGGAACGTGGTTCAAACAAGAAAATTCCGATTCAATGATGGTACAGGCGACCGTAGGGAAACAGATCCTTGAGGGGTCAAATGGGTCGTTATCCTGGGCAATCTAGAGCTGGAAGTTTTAATGGCGGCAGTATTCAGCAAAGCAATAATTCCTGGTGTTTATCCGGGGAATGCGAGGACCATAGAACGGTTCCAGAAGGTAACGGTGGGCCTGACTGATTAGGGAAGCAAGGAGAGGATAGTTTGGTACGCTGAGGGGACAGCTGAACCAGAGATGAAGTAGCTCTCAGGTAAGAGCTGGCTTTCACACACACACACACACACACACACAATCGGGACTGGAAGAGGGTTAGATGGTGACGGAGATCCGGTCGAGCGGTAGAAGGAGAGCGGCAGCACGGGGAATCCAGGGAAGCGCTGGGCAAAGAGAGCGAGACAGGCAGGATCAGAAGAAGATGAGGGAGAAAGGAGAGTTTTGAGGGCGAATGGACCGGGTCACAGCAGGGAAAAGAGGAGAAGCGCGAACTGATTGGGAGAGGCTGACCGCCCTGCCAAACCAGAAATCCGGGTGGAAATGGAAATTCAACTTGATGCTGGCGGTGGGAAGGCACCCAATCAGAGGCCGCAGTCTGGAATCGCCTCACTTTGTTTCCCTCGGCGGGATCCACGTGGCCCCGCCTGACCTTTTTCTGTACTTTGTCTTTTGTCACTCCAGAGGCAGTGCTGGTTACCCAGATTCGTATTGTGTTGAGCAGCCGATCTACATTGACCTTGATCGAGTCCTATGAACCAGCACTCACTACTCCGGTACAGCCCTGCTGCATCCTCTATTATTATCTCGACTTCAGCCCACTTGGGTGGCCCGGTCAAGCTTGCTACTAAAGTAGCTGGATGCTTTTAGTCGTTTCAACATTCTAGAATATACACAGTACTAACAGTATGTTAGACAATGAGAGTAGGAGGAGTTACAATGAGATGACCATCTATACCATATTGATGATTCTGAAGTATTCCCATGCCAGGTTATCTGCTCCACTGATTACTACTTTGTAGTTTCTTGCTGTTGAACATCTATCTACCCCATACTAATAAATTAATGTAGTGATATGGAACCCCCACTAATCTGCACTGGGTCTAGCCCCTGCCAAGCAATTAACAAGGCTGTCAGTTCTGCAGAAATGCAGTCGCAGCTGAGATTCAGCTCCAATGAATATGACTGATCTCATCATCAGGCAAAGTGATGCATATTTGCCACAGGGTGGCTGGACAAAATTACTTTGTAATCTTTAGCAATATTTGCCTTGATGTAATAGAAACCTACCTGTGAGGGTAGTCAGCCTCTCAATACTTTGTGTTGATTGCACAGCATCTATGTACTCAGAAGGCACTCTTCGACATATCCCACCCTACAATGTATATACTGGACTATAGCTATCGTTACCGACAACACATAGATGAAATATCTTACTTTTTGTCTACATATCTACGGCATATGAACGAAACATGATTTCGCGGGTCTAATCACCTGCTGGAATTGCTGAAGAAATTACGCTAAACAACAGACGTAAAGCAACCCGCGGCACCATGGCTCAAGAGGTATAAGAATAAAAGACACGCGGCAATCCTTAAAACAAGAAAAGAAACTGAAGAAGAGAAGAAGGGTGTTTTAGATCTAAGAGGTCTTCGGAGGCATGGGCTTGATGTTCTCCTTTTTGTCTCTGCCCTTCTGTGGGCTACTTCCGGCTCCCCCAGTCGCCGGTGGTTGGGAGAGGGTACGTACCAGGTTATGGCTAGTCACCTCAGCCACAAGCTTGTACCCTGGTATCCCGGCGATTTTGAGATAGACGGAATAGGCAGATGACAAGATGTAAATCATCGACTCTGCCGTGTATACGCCGTCTAGCGTGATGTCCATGCCTGATGGCAGAGTCTTCACCCAGTTGGCGAGCCTCTCCACTTCCTCTTTATTCATGTTTCTCGCTAGATGGACGCTAAAGACTGCCCGGAGCGTTGGAGCGATGGTTGTCGGGTCCACATTTGCGAGGCCCGTAAGAGGGAGACAGATAGAGTGGTTACCAATCGTGATCCCGTGCGTGGGTTTTTTGATGGCGTTTGGGCGGGCACGCAGAGTCTGGATGAGATCGGCCATTTCGATGTAGAGGTGGCCCTCTCGCTGGCGCCTGACGACCTCCGAAATAATCTTACTGGTGAAGGTATTCTGCGGAGGCGCGAACGCAAGCGGATCATTTATGTCCACGGCCGCTATCATTTCGACTACTCGAGGGGATACCTCTACCCCTCGTAGGGCCATGTGGGAATAGCAACAATCCAAGATGAACAGAACATCAACTTTGTCAGTCTCTGCCAGATAGCCTCCGTAGTTGCTGCTAGCAACAAGGTAAAAGAGAGTGACATTGGCGGAGAACGTTCTTTCACCTGCGACTGTATCTGCAAAGGACAAGGCACCATCTACAAGTAAGCCGTGCCCCGAATAGTGCACAGTCACGAGGCTTCTTCCAGGGGAGCTTTTTGCGGCGCTTAGCTTGTTGCGAAACGCCCCCTGGATTGTCCATACAGGAGTCTTGTCATGTTTTCCAATGACAAGCTCCTGAGCACGTGGAAGTGAAAGTCTCTCGAGGAGCGTCTGGAAGTTGGCTACATCTCTCGCAGCATTGGTATCGTCATCTGCCCATCTGATAGCGAGGTTGTGGGAAGATGCATAGCGGCTATTGTGCTGTTGAACAGCGGCCATGAGCGTGTTCCTAAAATCGTCGGGGTTGATTTGCGACATCTTGTCAACAATGAAAAAGAGCTCAAAAGATCAAGTCTCTTGAAATATTGGAGAAATATGATTGAGAAGGAAAGAAGTGGTGTTGACCGGTATTTATATACGTCTTGGCTCATACTTAGGTAGTGAATAACTCATAGTTAGGTGGTGAGGGAAAAGACGTCACCAACCGATTTATTCACACAACAACTGAGTGAGCAATTTTGATGTCTGGTTACTAACTGAATGAAGCTGAATGAATGAAGATATGATCTCTTTCGATTGTGGTTCGAGACAATGGGGAATATTTCGGAAGGTCTTAGGGCTGGTGTAAATGCTCCAGCAATTCCTCTCTTCTTGTAACTATATTAAGGTAGTTGGTTATCCAGGCACGAGTGATCCTTCCACCGGCACCGCAGGCTGTTACATTAGTGTTAGTATGGGCAATAGTATCAATGATTGTTGGGTAGAATAGTAACAAGGACAAGGTACTACTATTCTGCAAACACTCTGGCATCGTCTCTATGGTAGATTCGCTCGGATGGAAGAGTGGCACCCATGATATATCCGAAGGCGGCTATCTACTCATCTATTCAGTGCATGTGTCACACTGTCAAGACTCGATATCCGACGGGATTGACGGCAAATCCGCGGGCGGAGCGGCAAGCGTGCGAGTGATTCCCATCACCGAACATCCCATTGGCCGGCATAGCCTCGGGTAGTCCAAAGGCAAGGCCAAGTTCTGCCCGCAACCTTCAACCCCGACCGCCAAATTTTATCCCACGGCCGCCCATTATTAGTCACGTCTCCATTGCCGGTGACGGAGAGGGGACTTGCCTACTTACTCTTCTCATCTGGATCCCACGCTTCAAGTTGCTTCTTCCTTCTCCTTCATCATCCCGCTTGGAGTCATTCCTGCGCCCTCCTCGTTCGCCATCCTTTCCCCCCCCCAACCCCCCATTGTTTGCTCCCATCATACCATGCAGTTGTCTCGTTTATAGGAGCTCCTCATCCAAGCAACGCTACTGTGACCTCTCCTCTCCTACCTTGCTTCCTTCCTGAAGAACCTCCGCCATGGCTGCGAAAGGAGCCGTCTTACCTCTCCTGAGGCGTGAATTGCGACCCACTTGGTCGCGACTTTCAAGGTCTTCCGCCTCTCTTGCCCCCTTCAGCAACTCCGCCCGAATCTCGAATAGCTCCCTCGCTGCGTCCGGCAAGCGTGCCATTCGTCGCACATCGTTCTTCCCGCCAATTCAGACTCGAGCCTTTTCGCAATCACTATCCCGGAAGCTGACCGATGAGCATGGCAATTTTGATCCGCGACAGTTGGACAGGGAGTCGGATGAGGTCGATGTCTGTATCGTCGGTGGTGGTATGTAGAATGGCCCGGACCTCTCTCGTTTGGCGCATAGAGGTATGGCGCAAGGTTCAGTGGCTAACCGACTGTCTTTATCGCTACATAGGCCCTGCTGGTCTGGCTGCTGCCATCCGATTGAAGCAACTCGCCAATGAAGCCGGCAACGAGGAGTTCCGTGTCATCGTGCTGGAAAAGGCCGGTGAACTCGGTGCACACGTCCTCTCGGGTAACGTCCTGGAGCCTACCGCCATGAACGAGCTGTTGCCAGATTGGTTGTCGGAAGACAATCCGTCTCGCTTCGAGAATGTGACTCCGGCGAAGGAGGATAAGATGCGCTTTTTGACCAAAAACTCGGCCATTCCGATCCCTGCGCCGCCACAGATGAACAACCATGGCAACTACATTATCAGTCTGAACGAACTTACGAAGTGGATGGGAGAAAGGGCTGAGGAATTGGGTGTTGAAGTATACCCCGGATTTGCGGCCAGTGAACTCGTCTACAAGAAGTCGGATGGATCGGTTCTCGGTGTGGCCACCAATGATTTGGGTGTTGGTCGCGACGGCAAGGCCAAGGACAGCTTCGAGCGGGGAATGGAATTCCACGCCCGCGTGACCCTTCTTGCTGAGGGTTGCCATGGTAGCTTGACGAAGCAGGTGGTCAAGAAGTACGACCTGAGGCGCGATAGCCAGCCTCAGACCTACGGTATTGGTGTGAAGGAGATCTGGGAGATCCAGCCCGAGAAGTTCAAGCCCGGTGAGATCACACACTCCCTGGGATACCCCCTTCCTAGTGACACGTATGGTGGTGCGTGGATGTACCACTTTGGCGACAACATGGTCAGCATTGGCTTGGTGGTTGGGTTGGACTACCCGAACCCCTGGCTGTCGCCCTATGGCGAGTTCCAGAAGCTCAAGCACCACCCTCTGTACAAGGACGTCCTCGAAGGTGGAAAGTGCATCTCGTACGGTGCACGGGCTCTCAACGAGGGTGGATTCCAGTCGATCCCGAAGTGCGCTTTCCCGGGAGGAGCGCTTATCGGTGATAGTGCTGGATTCTTGAACGTTCCGAAGATCAAGGGCACACACTCCGCAATGAAGTCGGCCATGCTTGCTGCCGAATCCGCCTATGCGGCCCTGCAGGGCAGCTCGGAGGGCTCTGTATTCCTGTTCGACTATGAAGAAGCTCTGCGCAAGTCGTCCATCTGGAAGGAGCTGTACGAGGTGCGTAACATGCGGCCCTCTTTCAGCACGCCACTGGGTCTCTATGGCGGTATCCTGTACTCTGGTCTCGAAGCATACGTTCTCAAGGGCAAGGCTCCCTGGACTTTGAAGCACCATGGCACGGATGCTGCTGCGACCAAGATGGCGTCTGAATGCAACAAGATCGAGTACCCCAAGCCCGACGGAGTGATCAGCTTTGATATCCTCACCAGCGTCAGCCGCACGGGTACCAACCACGAGGAAGACCAGCCAGTGCATTTGCAGGTGGAGGACTGGGACAAGCACACCGATGTTGCCTGGCCCAAGTACCAGGGTGTGGAGAACCGCTTCTGCCCTGCCGGTGTGTATGAGTACGTGGAGGACTCTAGCAAGCCCCACGGCGTGCGCTTCCAGATCAACTCCCAGAAGTAAGTCAAACCCGAATGCTCGTACTGTTTCTCTTGCTAACTAGTCATAGCTGCATTCACTGCAAGACCTGTGACATCAAGGTGCCTACCCAGGATATCAACTGGCAGACACCTCAAGGTGGAGAGGGCCCGAAGTACTTCATGACTTAGGCCTAGCGATTTTTCAACACTTACATATTTCTCTCTACCCTTCATCAGGGTACAAAAAGGATTGGATGGATCAGAGTATCCATTGTGGCGTTGGTTACTAATGTTTGATCATGTTTCATTTCCAGGCTGGTGGATGCCTGTTACGTTATTGCGTGTTGAGCCCGGACGGGGGCCTTGTATATATAGTTGTACTCCATAGTTTGCGGTGACGATGAATACTGAGTATACCGTGATACTCGGGAAATAAGCTGTTTTTCTCAGCGTAAGCTAGCTGATAAGCAGCGCAGATGTCTAGATGATGTTCAAGCTGAATGAATGCTGAGGCAGCTAAAGCAAGTCTGATGGTAGATGTGCTACTATATCACGATGAGCCTACTTAGCAGCTGTCACATACCCTAGTATCTCACAGCCATCTACTATGGCTCTTTTACGAGCATATGCTTTGCATGATGTAACCAACTACCACATGCAAATGACAAGCATCCAGGAACACACCTCCGTAAATACTCCCGAATTCCATCACTTCCCCATCACCACCCCCAAAGCATCTATCCCCTAACCTCACAACACCGTCATACAGTCCTTAACTCCCGCAACTACCAGTCCATCAACGCTCCGAAATAACAATCTAGACCAAACCTTCACGGAACCCACTTCAGAAAGTATATTAATCACTGGAATGGTGCGACACGGCTATAAAAGGCGCACATCCGTCTCCGAGTCCCAAATCGTCACGACTATCAAGCCTACTACGACCAAACTCACCATCACCATCATACAACAACCGTCAATAGCAAACATGGTATTTGGTACTAATTCCACCAGCATACCATCAACACGCACCGTTACCACCGCCACCCCTCGTCCCTCCACTCCAATGGACGACGAAGATGTCGTAGAAGTGGTCGACACCGCCGCCTCCACTTCATCCTCCTCATCCCCTCCATCCACCCGCCTCATGGCCGTCGGGAAATGCAAAGCGGAACTCAAATCCGGCAATATAGGCCTAGATTGTCCCTGCAGCAGAGGAATCTTCTCTCTATCCCATACCAACGATATCAGCGACAAATGCATCGACTGCGAGCACTCCATCGCAGATCACGAAGGCATTGATATCGATATCCAACGAAAAGGTATGTCCCTTCTTACCCCCCCCTAATCTCTCTAATCCATATAACCATCCCCCAACCAACCGACCACCGATATCTAACAATGAGAAATAAAAGGAGACCCCCGGCACACAACCCTCACCAAACTCACCAACCTAATGGACCTCTACCCCCTCCTCTACGTCCGCGGGATCCCCGACAGCGGCAAAGGAACCGTGAACCAATTCCGGCGCGAGAATATCATGCTAATGACGCGGGAGCAAGAAGCGAATAGTTTCTTCCTTCCAGTGGATAAGCCGCTGGAGGAGTTCGATTCTGAGGATGATCGTCTCCTCACGCAGATTTTGGGCTCGTTTAATCGGCTCTGTAATGATCCGCAGATCTTCTTCCTGGTGATTTATTTTTTGACCCTGTCGGCGTGGTTAAGTGATCGGTTTATTAAGCAAGTGGTTTTGCCCTATTTGCCCGCACCGGGGGCGGGGATGAGGGGGTTGAGATAGGGATTACTACGTAGTATTACTAGGTGATTTTTTTGGGTGTTGGGAGGTAGGTGGGGGGATATAATATGATTGGCACTTTTTTGCGAAAGTGGGTGTTGTTTAGGTTAGGACTGTAGTTGTAGTAGATTTGTTGTAGTTGTTGTAGTGAAGTCGAGATGTATACAACTAGTTAAGTAAGTATATATAGTTCCCAAAACGGTAAAATCACTACAAAAAACCCGGTGTACTGACGATCCACGATAACCATAAACCAATCGAAATTAACTAACTATAGAATGTATACTATCTTAGTTATTCCTACTGCATCAAGTATGCAGCAACCGAAAAAAGGGGGTGTCAACGTGACCGACAGATGATGCTGATCACATGAAAAGGGCGAAAAATAAAATAAAATAAAAAACAAAAACAAACGACCCTATGACGCCAAGCTCCCGAATGCGAAAGCGATGCTGCTTTTGCCGCTTGCCGAATAAGCAAAAGCAAAGCAAGCAAGCGACAAGTAACGCTGACAGCCCATGTGATGGATGTTCACTACTACCGACCGACCTTTTTGTCCTATTCATTCCATTTTGCCCCATGTTGCATAGACGCCTATTTTGTGACGTCTCGATTGCTATTGTATACCGTAAGCTGATTCTTCACTTGGGCAACAGCTAATAATACCGACGGAGTGGTACGGGAGTATCATTCATCTAGTCATGATGTCCTCCGTCCGGCATATATCCATGGTAAAGTAAAAAGTGAAAATAGACTTGAAACGGGATCCATCCCACACCAACCATTCTATGACAGTTTAGATATTCCGGGGAGGCTGAAGGTGGTGCGGTAACAAACTTAGATGGCAAAAAAAGGTATGGGAAAGGCCACCTGGCCGGATTACGTATTGAACACGGCTGTAGCCGCTGCCTGCCGACCGACCGACCGACAGTTTTGAGTCAAAAGTCGCGTCGCGGAAGTTTTCCCATAAATGCTGAGATTTGAGTTGCGCGTGAAAGCGATAAGTGGTTAGTAGCCTATAACCCTTGTCGAGGCTATTTCCGTCCCCTGCACTAAAATTGAATGAACACCGACCACAGCGCAAGGCTACGATCGGGGGGCAAGATTTGTGGATCAAATAGGTTGGAAATTGCCTGAGATCTACTGTAAGTTGTCTGGGGTATGTTATTATGGTATGGAACTTGGCTGGAAAGCGGCAAATCAAACGCCAAATGAGAGGCGAGAACAGCCTCGCGCGGGATGAACCCCATGACGCGACCGACGACGCGACCGGCGCGTACCGGGATGAGCGATCTCACGACTGGTCAACTTTCTTGGACAAACAGAAAGACTGTGACTCAAGAATGAGATTCATCAACAGCGGTTAGCTGTGACTGTGATAGTGTAGTGTCAAGTAGTGATCTGTTAGAATGGTTTGGGATCATCTTGATGATCATCGATGAATCAGGCCCAACAAAAAAAAAAATCTTCCCCAAAGGCTGTGTTTTTGGGGCTCGGAAGAAAGAGATCAGGAAGAGTGAAAGTGTCGAAGAAATTTTTGTTCAGTTGGCAACCGCTAAAGCGGCAAGGCAAAAGAAAAGAAGAAAAAAAAAGAAAAAGGAAAAAAGAAGGAGTGAAGGGGAAAAAGCCGAGTAACAGTAAGGCGGAATGATTGGTAGATTGAAAGAATGGATGGACTGGAAAGTGGGTCAGAGTTATCAGTTGCAGGAGCGACGCGGACTGGCTGGGGAGATGAGTGGCTGCAGGCCTGCAACCCCAGCGTAAGGGGGGCGACAGCCAACGAGAACGAACGCAGGTGTGGTGAGTGGAGTCGCCGATCAACAAACCAGAGATGACGGAATGGCGCTTGGCCACCCAAGAGCCGCTAGTGGAGGCGCTAACACGCAGCGAGCAGTGCCAGAGCGGCCACTTCCATGGGTGAAAGCGAGTGGAAAGCGAGTGAAAGCGACCGCTCGTCGCTGCTTTTGCCGCCGCCGCCGGGCCCAGCCCCCCCTGACGCCAGCTGCGCCCGGGCGCTGTGACTCAGCCTATATAAAGGCCCAACCTCCCACTTTCCTGTCGCTGTTGGAATTTTTGATCCTGGTCTTGGCACCGCCCGGAAAGCCATACTGTCCTCTCTTCCCGCCCGCCATCCTCCCCTCCCCTCCCTATACACTCTCTCCACACTCACGTACGGTTTGCAGAGATTACTGCTGATATCAGCTGTTTTATATCTCTGCTATCAACCTGCTGGATCTAAACACATTTCCGGGAAGAAGATTTTTTAGGGAAGCCAAGAAAAAAAAGAGTATCAAATCGGGAAAGAAAAATTCTTTTCTTCCCTTTTTCTCTTTTTTCTTTTGAACTCCAAACCGTTATCAGTCTCCGTTACTGAAACAGGAAGTTTGCAGCCTCAGGTGTGCATCTTCGCCACTCTCTCTCTCCAAATCGCAGATAGACATTCCCAATTCATACAAAAACCAAGAAAAGCAAACAAAACACACGCACCTCCCCTCTCAAAAAAAAAGTTGTGTCATCTACCACAAAAAAAAACAACGTGCTTTTTCTGTCATCTCACACTCCCTTCCTCTTCTGCATCTTGTTCACTTACTTCCATCCATAAGTTTGTGAACGCTGCTGCTCTTGAGTTAATCTCCCCTAGAAAACACTTGACTGTGCTTTTCTAGTCCCCTGGTCACTGCCTTATTCTCCCTTCCCATCCACCTTATCCTCCTTCCTCCACGGCGGCTTTTTGTCATCGCCTGTCACATACCTCTGCACTCCACCTTGACTTCATTCCGTTTCGTCTTCGAAACGGTTTATTGCTTGGATCCCAGAGCAGTATTGCTGCAGGGGAGACATTGACTTGTCCATCTCCCGCAAAGGGTACGTTGTTCTCTTCACTTGGTCTTGACCTCATTTGTCTTGCCTTTCCAGGCAGACACCTCAGGTGCCCGTCGCTCTTGAGTCTCTTTGAGCGTCATCTCCATCTGTCACTCACTTTGTCTGTCCTCTTTTGACTGACTTTGAGCTCTGCGTCTATACAGACTGCTATCTGCAAAAAGCTTTTCTATCTACTCTCAGCGTCGGCTGGTTTACGGCTCGAGTATTCCACTACTCACGTCGCGATGGATTCTCTTACGACCCATCCTTCTACCGCGCAGCAGGCCCGGGCCTTCACTTCCCCCGCCTCTCTGTCCTTCCCCGGTGGTGCCGGCGACTTGACTCCGCCTTCCGATAAAGACGGAAACATGGCGATGGCTCAGGGTGCGAATGGGATGATGAACGGTCAGCAGCAGGGAGGAAATGCCGCTAATGGCAACGGGGTGGCGCCCGCAACTCCAGCTGCGACTCCCGGTGCCAACACTCCGGGAAGTGGCATTGTGCCTACGTTGCAGTGAGTATACTCTTGCTGTCTCTATTTCTGGGTCACCAGATTACTGAACAATGATCTCTCTCTTTCTTTGAAGAAACATTGTCGCGACGGTCAACCTTGACTGTCGTCTGGACTTGAAAACGATCGCTCTCCACGCAAGAAATGCGGAGTACAACCCTAAGGTATTACTTTCCACACCTCCCTGTGCTTGATATGTCAGGGCATAGTGTGGCTGAACTGTTCTTTTTTCTTCCAATAGCGTTTCGCGGCCGTGATCATGCGTATTCGAGAGCCGAAGACGACCGCTTTGATCTTCGCCTCCGGCAAGATGGTGGTTACTGGTGCCAAGTCGGAGGATGACTCCAAGCTGGCTTCCAGAAAATACGCACGTATTATTCAGAAGCTTGGTTTCAATGCCAAGTTCACGGATTTCAAGATCCAGAACATCGTGGGTTCTTGCGATATCAAGTTCCCCATCCGCCTGGAGGGTTTGGCCAGTCGCCATCACAACTTCAGTTCCTACGAACCTGAATTGTTCCCCGGTCTTATCTACCGCATGATGAAGCCTAAGATCGTGCTGCTTATCTTCGTCAGTGGAAAGATCGTCCTCACTGGTGCTAAGGTCCGTGAGGAGATCTACCAGGCGTTCGAACTGATCTATCCTGTGCTTTCGGGTATGCATTGCTCTCCTCGCTTCGGATTTGAAGTGGACATCGTGCTAACCAGTCGTAAAGATTTCCGTAAAGTCTAAAAGGGCATCGTCTTTTTTTTTTCAGGAAGATCTCGACCACCTCGTCCTTCCCATCTTCATCAACTTGTATTAACACTTGGCTTTTCCCCTTGCACTGGCCCGCGAGGTTGTACTATGAACGGACAACGCGCTTCAACCCAGCACGGCTGATGCTTTTTTTGCTGTTCCGATCTTTTCTCCTTCTACACCTTTGCACATCACGATTTTCATGCTAGCATCTGTACGGCGTTCGAGCGATTGGTCTCTATTATCCTTTTTTCCTTCCTGTTTCAACAGACAAAGTGTCTCACCATCTTAGATAGTCGCACACCGCAGATTAAGGGGGCGGTACTGTGCGCTGGTCGAATGGTTGCCTCCTTCTAATTATTGGTTTTCTGTTCTTTGCCTATTGGCAGTGATCCTCGATGTGTATGGCTTTGGTCATCACTCGAGGTGGTTCGGACCTCCGAGGACTTGCTTGCTATTGATTCGGAGGGTTAACTCTCAAGCTCAAGCACCCAAAAAAATCTTTCCTGTTTATTGTTCTAGATCGCTACGCTCTGCTACGGAAGTGGATGAAAAATACACTGGGAGAATGAAGGATGGGCGCGCGTGCCCAGGTTCCAAATAGTGGCATAATTATTCTTGACTATTTCCTTATTCCTTTTATGGGTAGAAAATGAACTCGAGACATGCATGCGCATATCCCTTGTCTGATCCAGTGTCATATGATGTAGAACGTCAGTCGTCAGTGTGGTTCTGCCGGACATTAATCTTAACTATGTAGTAGCTTGTAGTAGTTTATAGTTTAATTAGTCTTGGCTGTGTCTTATTAAAGTGTGTACCTGATAGATAACTCCTGCGGACGGACGGGACCCTTGCATGAATTTAATTTCCCCGTGATTCGGGGTTATATCTCCACCCCCTCCCCCTGTTCTTCCTGAAACAGTGGGTGGTACATTATTGTCATGCAGCTGGAACCTGTCTGGATGTTATGTAGTACTTTGCGTATCTTTGAGGTCAGATCACGTCGGCCATGCTTTTTCCAATGAAGAAATGCTCTAGTTTAGTGTACTCTTGTCCTTGAGTGTCCATCTACATATGTTCCAATAGAGTAAGTAGTAACCGAGTAATGTAATGGAAGATGTATATGTAGCAGCAAGAAGCTTATTCTGTTTCTTTCTATCTAGCTAGACTAATCATATAAATCTACTTCCAAATATAATCCCTAGTCAGTAGTGAGTAGTGAGTAGTAATTTTCCTTCTACTTGCTAGTAGTTCCCTATTGGTTTATTTTGCCCACATCAATAAGGTGATACCTTACCCATCTTTATATGAGTTTGATGAACATACACACATTAGACAAACGATGAAAGTCAGTTCAAGTAAGAGGATAGAATAGACTTACCTCTTATCTAGCGGTGTTGGATGAAACCACAATTGAAGTTTTCAAACGCCCTGTAAAGCCAACCAACCAACCCACCAACCATATCCGTAACATTCCCTGAAGCCCTAATCTGTCTCTCCTTGTCCCTTGGTACGATGTGCTGATAGGCATAGTTCCAGTTCATTTGTTGAACGTGAATGGACTCGGCCTTCTTTGCTGCTTGAACAAATTGGGAGTCGTTCCATGGCTGCTGGGGTGGCGGGTGACTGTAAGTAGCACATTGTGCTGGGTATTGGGTACGATGCAGCAAATATTCAGGGCATATCCTGATTTTGTAGGTAGTAAGGAGGAAGTGTCATGTTTAATTTACAGGTACATATAGTTTTGACTGGCCCCCGCTGTTGATTTTGCATGAGTACACTTGTGAGAAGCTATGGTGCGGATAGGTGGGTGGTTGAGGCTGGAAACTCTTGCACAAGGACTCAGTAGGAGAGTAGATAAAACATTTCCAAGTCACTTCTTTCTGTGATTTGATAGATATACTAGCAAGACCGCGATTACACGTCTTGCTTGCAGTCGAATCGTCCAAATTTCCTAGCATCGAGTCAGATTATGGTTTGTCTCTTACATCCGCTAATTCTTCATTTTATCAGACCAAGTGCACGTAGTGGGTCCCCAACCTCTATACGTACACACATCTTTTACTGCATATTTCCACCGTCAATATATACAGTCTAGTTAAGTCTACACAACAGCAAACTCTAATCTATATAACCCCCATTTTTGTTTCCTCACAGCAAACTACCTCTCTTCGCCTTCCTCGTCTTCAACAACTCGTCCATCAACCGCAACCCCTTCGGTCCTGAACGACTGCCATCCTCGGTTCCATCGAATTGACTCTCCGACACTGCAGCGGGCCACTTCCACAAATCCTGCAGCGCAGGATCCAGCTTACCCTCCAGTGCGTCGACGATCCTGTCGCCCAGCACGGGGAGGAACTTGTATCCGTGACCGCTGCCGCCCGTGGCGAGGAAGAGGCCAGGATGGTCGGGGTGGTATGTTATGATAAAGTCGCCATTAGGGCTGTTATCAATTGTATATATTAGCCAGGAATTCAACCAATTACACAGTTGAATGGGGATAGGCACTCACGTATCAGTGTACCAGCAAACGCGAGTCTCAGCGAATGGCCGATCCGCGAAGGAGGGAATCAGTTCCTTCAAAGCCTCCCGGAATGCCTTTTCGCCTTCGGCAGGAATAGGCACTCCCTTCTCTGGCAGACTGACATGCATGTTCTGTCCCTCGTCCTTGGTGGTGCCAGGAACCGGGACCTGGACAGGATTAACGTAACCGTACGCATGTCGGGCAATCTTTAGCAGGTTTTTGCGCGGCGGGATGATGAAGATGCCCGTCGCGAAGTTAAGAATCGTAGGCATGTGCTCGAAACGCTTCTGTTCTTCGTCTGAGATGCGGATGTATGCGATCGCTTGACCGGTCTGAACGGTTCGACCGCGTAGATCGACGAGCTTGGCGGTCCAGGCTCCTGTTGCGAGGACGACAAGGTCGGCTGTCAGGGATGATCCGTCGGCAAGGTTGACGCCAGTGACTCTGTTGGTATTGTCGTTGCTGTATCGGAGACTGCTCACGTCGCCAGTCTTGAAGATGACCTTTCCTTCCTGGTCCAGACGCTGCTTGGTGTACCGGACACCCGCTTCGGCGTCGGACCAGCCTGAGCCCCAGTTGACATAGCCACCTGCAACGCTGCGGTTCACTCCGTAGGCCGGGGCGACACGCGCGACCTCCTCGCGAGTGGGGAGGAGTTCGACATCTTGGCCGGGGATTTGCTTGACGTTTTCGTAGCTCTTGTTGGCGTAGTCGCGGGCATTGGTACTACCGGGGGGATAGACCAGGAGAAGACCGTTCTGGGTGTATCGGCCTTCTTTGCCCCACTCGGTGTTGCGCCAGAGATTAAGGGCTTCGGCGGCGAGTTTGGCGTAGTGTGGTTGGGAGTAGTCGGCACGAACAATACGGGAGGAGTCGACGGAAGAGCCGTGCGGGTTCGGGATTATCGGGGAGGCTTCCAGGAGGGTGATCTGAGAGTTGGGATGACGGTGCGAGAGGGAGAGCGCAGTAGATACTGGATTGAATGAGCAATTTGGCTCATGCTGGAAATCCGGGGGGAAAATGGGTGCGGTGTGTGTGGTGCGACTTACGGCCGAAGACCCCTCCGCCGACAATAAGAATGTTGGCGGGGAGTGACATGTTGCGGGTGGAGGAACAAGATATAATGATAAGAGAGAAGGCGAGGATCTGAATGGAGTATATTGAGAGGAGGTCGACTCTCAAAGGATGAGGGGAAGAAAGAGACTATATAGTTGGTGGTATGATTCGGAGATGCAGCGATAACGGCGCATTGGCAAATGAAATTAACAAGCTCGTGCCCTGATTGTCTTGGCGGTCGGTGTCCGATCTTTGAGTTTCTCCAACTTCTCCATCTTTTCCTCTCACCTCCGCACCTTATTCCACATCACTCCAGTCGCCGCAACCATGAGCGCACCACGAGTCGGGCGAGCAGCGCTGAAGAAGGCCAAGTTGCCTGCTTCTGCTTCTGCTTCCAAGCCAGCGCCTCGATTCCCAGTAGCAGATGGCACCGGGTTAGTCCTTACGAACTCCGCATTGCCCATGTCGCTTTGCGTCAGCAATAAATTCAGCCCACGCCTACTGACTTGCTGTAATATGCAGACCCAAAACCCTACCTAAACGTGCCAACCAACACCTCAAGGACCTCCCATCGACGCCTCCGCCCACCCCCGTATCCCCCAGAATCATGACCATCCTCGGCGTCAGCGCCCTCACTCTCAGCACCTACATCGGCTACCTCTATGCCTCCTACCGTCGCGAAGTCACCCAATCGCAATCCCTCTCCGTCCCCCACGATGTCTCCGACCGCTACAATCACACCGCACGCACCTTCGACGCAGACGTCGAAATGTCCGAGAAAGTTATGCGCATGGGCTCCAAGCGCGCAGACCTGATCAGTCGCGCACGCGGCGATGTCCTCGAAGTCAGCTGCGGTACGGGTCGAAACCTCCAGTATTATGAGCTCGGGCAGCGGAGGGGACTCGATAACAAGGGACGTGTAGGTGTGCATGGATGCCGGTCCGTCACATTTGTGGATCTGAGTCCGGAGATGGTGGAGATCACCAAGGCCAAGTTTGCAAAACAGTTCCCGGAGCATGAGGTGCCGGTGAACTTCGAGGTGCAGGATGCGGCAGGTGTGTCTAGGCGTCCGGTTGATCCGTCACGGAAGGGTGACGAGGGTTATTATGATACGGTGGTGCAGACTATGGGACTTTGTTCGATGCCGGATCCGGTGGGCACGTTGCGCCATCTGGGGACGGTTGTTGAGCCGAACAAGGGTGAGATCTTGTTGTTGGAGCACGGGCGGTCGCATTATGATTGGCTCAATCGCATCTTGGATAATCTGGCGTCGGCGCATGCGGATAGACATGGGTGTTGGTGGAATCGGGATATTGGGAAGATTGTGCGGGATAGTGGGTTGGAGGTGGTAGAAGAGAAGCGCTGGCACTTTGGGACGACTTGGAAGTATGTCTTGCGGCCAGCGAGGAGGGAGGAGTGATGATATAGGAGATGTCACTTGTATATTACTAGCTAGGGATTTTGATAGACTTTGATGACTGGATGTATTTGTAAATAAGCATAGCGGGGTTTATAGTTGTCACTAAATAATTAGACAGTTTGGGTCACAATGTAAAGATGACTTCGCGTTGTAGTTACTCGCTATTACTCCGTATTCTCCTCAAATATAGTTGTATCCTGTAGCCTAAAGATAATATTGAATAATGAGGTAAGCATAATACTTATGATCATAGTAGTTAACCTAACCAGTGACATTCTCGTATGGAAACATGAATAAATATACTTCTAATCCAACCAAGGTACTATAGTAACGGAAACATCAAACCACTACTTTAACCCCAGTCTCATTTATACCATACTCCCCGGATTATACTAAAATATTCCTAATACCAAACTCTAACCTGCTACTCAACAACCAACACCATAGTATCCCACCCCATTTTCCCAGTCACGCGACGCGAACACATCACCGGGCCAACAATTCCAAACCAGAACCGGTGTTGAGAAAATCCATCAAAACCAAGGTTTGACCCGATCATCTGAGAACAGTAGAAGCATTAGATCGTCGAGATGAAGTCAAGATGGCGTTGTGATTACGATGATGCTCTCGATCTGCGTCTGCGGGGTAAACATAGATGTGTTGGCCCTGATGTTGGCGTGGACTAAACTACATGTAGGCTAGGCTGGGATGCTACCTGTGTGTTGTGTGTATGTGTGTATGTATGTCCCCTCACAGGATACAGTGTATATATTATCTATAATTAATTTAAGTATTGTGTGTGTATGTGTATGTGCATGTAGGATAAAGTTTATCTATATAGGAGGGGCGGAGAATATATCTCTGTTTGTTTGTTTGTGACGGTGTAGTGCAGGTATTGATGGATATATTGAAGTTTGGGGGTGGTTAGGTACATGCTTTAGATGTAGGGAGGAAGGGAGGGGAAACATGCGGTCTATCTATTATTGGGGTGAGGGTTACTATTTTACTTTGCGTTGAAAGGTACGGAGAGTTAGTAGTAGATAGTAGTAGTCACTGAGTGGTCAGGGTTCCGAGAGCCCTGATCTAGACTACTATCTACGGAGTATAGCAGTTAGAATTCAGGAGTGATATACTCCGGCTGACGCTTACTTGCTATCTACTGTATACACATACTTTCTTTGCATAGATAGTAAATAGACACATCAGTGCTTTGAATACGAGAGCTGAATAGTGGGACAGATCCATCACCAAGAGTACCGTGCATGAAATCCTGACGATCTGTGCACCGACAGAAGCTGAAGAGGTGGGATGATGATGTGATGCCGATGACGATACACAACTTCAATTCCCAGCCTGTCTGTCTGTCTGTCCTGCTGTATTCCAGCTGCAGATGCTGCCCGCCACGGAAGAGAGAGTGGAGATAAAGTACATACATACATACATACATACATACATACATACATTGCAGCATGTGAGTTGTACGACTTCCCCTTCCACTCTACCTACCTACCCACTCTCCCACCTCTCCGTCTCTACCCATCCTCTTCCCGTCCATCTGCATTGCATTCCCTGGACTGCAGGAACTATGACAATTGCATACGTACAATGATGAATGCATGGTGGAGAGAGAAAGTGGAGGGTGGAGAGTGGCTGTGACTAAGTAACCAACCCATTGTCTTGTCTGCATTATTCTTTTTGTTGCTCCGTCGAGAACATACTTGGAAACAATGGATAACATTCTCCTCCTAGGCAACAGATAGGTAACTAACGATGGAGTATGAAGATGAGACCTGGAATGATTCATAGTTAACTATCGGTGGTGATAGTGACTCAGATGATTGGTGAACCGTCCACCTGTCGCATAAGGTTGGTGATCCCTTGCTGAGATGTGATACATCGCTCATTTTCCCGATCTACAGTAGGAGAGGCAGATAATATTTACTAGAATGTGTGTCTGTGTGTGTGCACACACACACATCGCATAGATGAGGCCAAAGGTATATTCTGTCCTATCAACCACTATCTATCTACAAGAGACTGGCCAGCTCCCCCTGCTACTGCAGTGCACAGCAATATGCATGACAGCCTCGTCGCGGTATCCCAAATCCACAGGCTTCCCCCAGCCAAGACTACGAGTGGCGAGGCCCGGGTTCCATGCAGAAAGGAGCGCGCTGTGCCCTTTGTCCAGCTCTGGTCTTAGCGCGACCTCTCATCCATCCGATTGGGTCCTCTTCCAATCTTCTAGACGACCCGGCATCTACTCCACTCTCGCCGATCTGATTCGCCATAGGCTCCAAACGGCGACGTTAGGAACGATTATCCTTGGGACCGCGGTTGTAGGTGGAGCTGCTGTGTACACTGTGATTCGTTGCGTTTTTGCCTGCCTCCATTTCTCTTACGAAGTTAGTGCATAAGTCAAGTAACTTGGAAGGCTAGCGCCTGCAGCAGCGCTATGCGCTAGTGTAAGGCTCTTGTGTGTAGTGCTTTTTCCCTTCCTTTCATTTTTTTCTTTTATTTTTTCGAGGGTGGTGTGTGTCCCTTTTTCTGTCCCAAGGTTTGGTCCTACTTTTTCGAGTCACCAGCACTAGGCTCCCATGGCCAACACACTTCACACCCACTTGTCATGGACCAAAGCATTCCTTCAAGCTAGGCTGATGAGTACCATGGAAGGTGTTAAAGCTATGATGCATCTACCCGTAGGTGGTTGCCGCCGTTTTCCCGTCAGTGGGAGGGACACAGTATATACCATTGTAGTTTGAAGTATTGCCCCGTAGTTTTTAGACAAAACGACCGAGCAGAAGACTTGTTACTTGTTCGAGGATAGGGAAAAAGAAAAAACATCAAATCCGATAGTCCCAAAAAATGGTCCGATTTTCGCGGAATCTGTCGGTGAGAAAAAGAAAACAAATAAACAACCACTCCGAGTTTTAGTCTGGAAGTTCAAGAAACTGGGCTGGAAGTAGTAAGTCAGGTCAGTAAGTAGGTCGGTCGCCTTGATCGCGGGTTAGGGATGTTCGAGCAGGGCTTGTTTGTTTCTGTCTATCTATCAGAAAAATTTCTGCGCAGCAACCAGGTCCCAAGGCGTTCTAGTGAGCTGCAGGTTAGCCAGCAGTAGCTACCCGATACGCCCTCCCTTGGATTGACTCCACGGAGCATACTCCATCATGGAGTCCATGCAGAACCTCAGTTGATCACGGTCTCCTCCACCAATCATCATCGCGGGCTTTCATTCTGGTCGTCATAGACACATGGTTGGTTCCACCGTACTTTTTGCCCCTTCAGTCCATCGGCCGTGTTTTAGTTTCGCTTCTCGCCCATCTTTCGCCCTCGGCCGGTCTCCTTCCCAGTGTGTGTCCAGTTGACGCTCTTTTCAGTGCTTGGGTTGCTTTGGTCGCGACACACGGACGTTTTTCTTTCTTTCCTTTGAGGATAGGGAATTGGGATAAAGCGGTGTAGATGTGTACATCCTCTAGTCTCTTCTTAGTAGATTGTATTCAATCTTCCGACTGTGGGGGCTTGCTCAAGAAGAAAGAGATAGATCCAAAAGCAGCGATAACAATCCCCTAGAATGGAATAACAAAAACAAGACACAGCTTCAAATTTATTTTATTTTTTATTTTTTCTTCTCATTTTTCCTTTTAATGGAGGGAATCGGAGGGGGGCACACCAGTTCCAGTTCCCATCCCGGCATTCCTGGAAATCCCCAATAAAATTCACCCCCCATCGTGCGTCGAACCAATAATCGCCACCCTAAAACATCCACCCGTTTTTGCCCATTTTAATTTTCACCCGGGGCGCAAAAGAGAGAGCAGAGGAAAAAAAAAAGAAAATTTTTCTTTTCGAAGGGTGGAAACCATCACATCCAAACTTATCCCACCTTGAACATATCCACCTCACGGAACGGATTCCTCAGGCTTCGTGCCTTCCTATTGTTATTTCCATTACTATTTCGATTACCATCGTTGCTGCTTCCTGTTCCGACGGTAAGTACGGCCGGTCTCTAACTGGCCAACGATCGTTCCGGTGATTATTCCATTCCCATTCCCTCGCCTTTCCATTGCTCTCTCTGCCTCTCTGTCCTGTCCCCATCTTCCCGTGCAGCCGGTCGGCATCTCATCATCATCACCGCCGCCGCCGCCGCCCATCTTTCCCTAACTCTCCCATTCCCTTCCCATCCATCCATTCATCCATCCTCCCTCCCTCCCTCATCCCCCCCCCTGTGCACCATACTTCCTGTAACATTTACCCTACTTTCCCCTTTCCCCCCCCAAATCCTTCTCACCATCTCCTTCCTATCCTATTGTTTCTTGTCTCTCTATCTGTCTGTTTATCTGTGTCTCTGTGTGTGTGTTATTAGACTATTATCTTGCTACTCTTAGTGCTACTTTTATTTCCCTGTTTCTATACTGTATTGTTCCTCCCTCGTGTTTTGTGTGGTTATCGGTATACTACTTTACTACTACTACTTCCATTATCGCCTATCGTTCTCCTATTTCCACTGTACCCCTACTACACCTTTTTGACCACCTTCCTTCCCTTCCTTCTTTTTTTCCGACTACGCAACTATGCCTTATAATACACGTCGCAAGTCGTTGTCGCTCCCCTCCTTGGGAATTCACCTCCCTAATACATCTCGCCGCTCTCCCTCCGCCACGAAATCGCCTCACGCGACCGATGATCAGCTCCCTCCCTCCAAGAAAGTGAAGAGGTCGCACGACTCGGCATACTCGCTATCTCCCGAGCCTTCCTCGTCTTCCTCTGCGCGCACTCCCGATGGCAAGGAATCCGCCGCTCCTCTACGTCAGAGTGGGCGGCGCGGTCCTTTGGAACATACGCCACCGCCATCCCCCACCGATGGTACTGTCGCGACTAAGATCGACACCGAGGGGATCAATGATGACATTGTGGTTGGTGTGATTGAGCAGTTGGAAAAGACTGGAAACCGTCCTCATTTGGTGAAGGAGTTGGCTGCCGTTCTTATCGCATTGAATGAGAATGTCGCAAAGTACGTGCCCCTCTTTTGATCTTTACCCTCTCCTATGTCGCTGGCCATACTAACGAGTTTATTTTCCTTTACAGCTCTGCGAACCCTGCAGCCCTTTTATCTTCTAGGTTAAGTGCATACATGAAGCGCCCGTGGACGGCTCTGGCGCCCTGTCCTTTGGCAAAAGAACTGGTCCCTATTCACCCGCGCAAAGTGTACTACTACTTGACGACATTGCCCCGTCAGCCTCTGCCAGAGAACTCGGACGATGTCATCATCCCCGGTGTAGAGGGCAAGGATATCACTCCCAGTGTCTCCAGCGCTGATCTAGACGAGGAAGACGCGATGGCGCGAGAGCGGTCTCGCCTCAGTCCCAGTCCGGAGGTCGACTTGTCCTCGCCTGACTTCGAGGAAGAGTCCATCGACTTGGACGGTCGCAATGGCCCCGGCGGTGCGTCAAGATCTGGCACCGACTTTAACGATCACCACCATGCGCGGTTGATGCACTCGAACCGTGCTGCCTCCCCGCCGTTGGAAGGAGATGAGAAGGAGTTCACACAAACCGCCAGCGCCGTCCGTGAGCGGGCCTCGGAACAAAAAGGAGGCCAGCTTCAGATTCCGGGAGGTGGCTTTTCTGCTCTTTCGGAAGGTCTGAGCGAGTTGCACGATGGCGCCATGAGCATTTCCGATTCCGTGGAGGACAGCCCTCTCTCCTCCATTAGCGGTGATCGCATGTCGGACGACCAGGATGGCGACTACTTCTCGCACAACGCATACCAGCAGCAGTCCCCTCTGCAAGATCATCTCCAGCAGCAGCAGGATCTTGATGACGCTGCTGTCGCCACCCTCTTCGGCACATCTCCCTCCCCGTCCCTCACCTCTGTGGCCTCATCCATCTCGTCTGGCACGAGCGTGGCTTCCGATGACGGGCTGGATGGCGAGACGCAATCCGAAACCATCGGACGCACCCCTCAGATCAGCCTCCCGGAGGACCTGACCGTCCCCCCGGTATCGGCGCTCAAGCGTTCCATCGACATGCTGAACAGTGGGCTTCCCGATCTGGACATGAAAATGTCCGATCTCAATGAGCAGGACGACAAACTGCCATTGGGAGCCAGTGCCTTTGCCAGCCAGGATGTCGAGATGGTCTTTGATTCGTGGCGAGAGCTGCAGAGTCCCGAGACCGTGGAAGTCGATGAGCTGGACGAGATGTTCGGGGAAATCTGAACGTCGTCGTCGCAGCACTTCTCATCCACCCATCGATAGACTAGAGGCGTTTGGATCGTGTGTTCCTTTCTCGGGGAGTTGAAAACCAAACAAACTCCTTCCATCTCCACTCCCGCTGTAGCCGGCCTGTTGAGCCGGCTGCTCACCTACACCACCTTGATACTCCGTTTGACCTAATCTTGTACAGTTTCTATTTGTTTAATGCCCGTTTCGCAACCTTGCTGCATCTTGTTTTGACCCCGCCATCTCCGGCGAGGCTCCTGCGCCTGCTGCGCCTGTACATATATACTCTTTACCCTTTCTCACTCTCTGACCGTCTTGATTTTTTTATTATATCCCCTGGCTGGCCGTGATGTATCTGATTGATCGTTTTCTGGGGGTTTGAATTTGCAAGTTCTTCTCAAATGATGGGCAAGGAGAGATGAAGCCCGAAGCAGGTGATGATGAATACGGCCGAAGGAAGGAGAGGACCAGGGAGAAAGAAAAACACTGGGATATGCTTGATGTCTGACTATGTATGCTTAGCGCCTGTGGCCTCTGAATCCAAAAAATTCCCCGCAAGGGTTAGATCTGACGAGAACCATGTGCCTGTTCACTCTCTGCTTTTGTAGTTGAAGTAGCTCCTTCATCCTCGTATGCCCTTTCATCATAGTGAGTAGATATCTACCTGAACGTCTGCTGTGCCTGATAGACGCACGGTCTCCCGCGCCCTGGGGAATGTGGATGACCGGATCCTTCCTGGAATGTGGGAGGGCCATTTGGCGTGACTGCAGGAACGAGACATGCCAAAGTAGCGGTTGTTGCAGGGAGTGAAAAAGCCCGACCTATGAGAAGAGATGTAGCACCATGGCAGAAGTTTCCTGTGTCCAGAAAGAGAGAGAGATGCTGGGATGAGTGGATACCTCAGGCACTAGAAGGCACTGGACTTCCATGACGTCATGCTACTACTCTTAGTCATGTAGGCGGTGGACGAATTTGGAAGGTTCTGGTTGGTTGGCGGGCAGTGGAAGGGGGACAAAGTACTTTGTTGCAATGGTCTCGAGTGGTCGGTCGTATCTAGTACTTCGTAGTAGAAGTAGGATGCCATAGTAGTTCTTATCCCGCCGCACGCCCCTCTTCATCCCGAATCCCCTGCACTTTCGGTTCCAGACTTACCCCCCCCATCTTCGTGCTTCTCTGCATTCCTATCCTCTTCAGGGCACATCAATATCCTCTTACCTTCATCGATTCATTTGCGACCTTGACTTTGCGCCTGGTCTTCTGCTCCTTGATCCCGGTTTAGAAGCCCGGTTCGCACTCGGTCCCCGCGCGACATCATGCTTCAAACCTTGGCTGGGTCTTTCTCATACGTCCGCCTGAAGTATTGACCGGTGTGGTTCATCGCCTTCCAAATCGCAAAATATATCCAGCCAATTCTCATCCAAAGAATCTTATTCGGACCCAAGAAATACCACGTGACCGGCTGTTATTTCTCTCGGCGATTCGACTGGTGTGCTGTGGCGTTACTCTTCCAGAAACCATCTATCGTGGGAGAAAAAAACCATGGAGACGCCTGGGTTTTCCCAGCTTGATGAGGGCCTCTCGCAGGGCGATATCCCCCTTCATCCTCATACCGATGGTCCATCTATTGTCGTGCCTACCGCGCATCCGCCGGCTCTTCCGGGCACCTCGTCGCATAACCCTCAGAAACCCAGATTGGCCACCCGTCCCGCGCATGCCGAAAAGAAGCAGCTTCTGTCCACGGGGAGCAGCAAAGTCGCCATCCCTCGACAGCGTTCGGCTGCAGCACCGCGATATACCAGACGAGTTCCGCTGGCGTGTGAGTCCTGTAGGCAACGGAAGACGAAATGTAGTGGTGATACGCCCGTGTGTCGGCAGTGCAAGGAGTTGAGGATAAGTTGTCGGTATCCGATCTCTTGGCGGGAGCGGACGAAAGGGTATGTTGGTTGCTGTTTTTTGTTGTCTTTTGGTACTGAGGGTGAGGAATTGATATTGATGTTTCTAGGGAATTGGATAAACTTGCTGTGAGGGTTACAGACTATGAGAACTTACTGCGAGATCTTGGTACTATTGTCGATGGTCGGGCTGCGGAGCGTATAAAAACGGTGTTGGAAAAGGTTAGAGATATCCCGGTTTTGACGCTCCACGAAACGAATGTCTATGCTAGTCCCGCGAAGTCACTAACCCCGACCAGCACTCCTATAGCGGCAGCGGTAGCGGCGAAGGTACTCAGTCCAGCTCGGTGACACCCCAGGACGAAGACAACGATGATGAGGTGACCTCTCCTTCGTCCATCGGATCTTTGGATGCGATCGATCGGGTTGAGGAAGATGTGAACCGCACTCCGAGTTCCAGAGCCACTGGTTATATGGGGAAGAACTCCGAAGTTACTTGGATGCAGCGGGTGCGCATGGAGGCCGAGCATCGTGCTCGCAAACTGCCGGGCCCCTACGAGGCAGAACATGAGGGCGAATTTGCCATTCACTCCGTCAACTACCATCTAGACGACATGGATATCTCGGTGCCAGGTCCTGTGCATGTGTACTGGATGCCGCCGCGCAAAGTGGCAGATAAATTCTTCGAAGACTACCTCGATACGGTCCACCCATTCTATCCTATCATCAGCCGGACCCTCTTTCGGGCGCAATACAAAACGTTCTTCGAGAGCGCTGCACGGCCAGGGGACAAGTGGTTGGCTATCCTGAACATGATATTCGCCATTTCCGCCAAGCATGCACATCTTACGCGGGCCCCGTGGCGGGGTGATGAGAATGACCATCTGGTGTATCTGACGCGAGCTCGGATTTTGAGCATGAACGGCGATGTGCTTTTTAGTCACCCCGATCTCCAGCAGGTGCAGGTCGAAGGTCTGATCGCCTACTATCTACTTGCGTCGGACCAGATCAACAGGTAAGCAGCTCTAAAGAACCCTCTAGCCAAATGTGTTTGTTCTAATCCGACATTCAAAAGGGCTTGGCGAATTGCCGCATTGGCCGTTCGTTCTGCAGTCACTCTCGGGTTGAACATGAAGAACTCCAGCGAGGGAACGGCCAACATATCCAAGGAGGCACGCTATAGGGTGTGGTGGTGTCTATACACATTTGAGCACATGCTGGGCATCATGACTGGTCGAGCTACGACCATTACCGACGGTATCTGTACCACACCGTTCCCTCTCCCCTTTGAAGAAGATCAATTGGTGGAAGCTGCAGCGACCAAGCTTTTGAACGAGCCCGAACTACGCCAGGAATACATTGATACGGCCCTCGCCTGCATCTCTGTGCGGCAAATGCCATCTAATCCCAAAGGGGGTCGAAACGCTCAGACGACAGATAAACCGCGTGATCCGGCATGGCTGAGAAGCCTTCCGCCCTCAAGTGCTCTTGGATTCCTGTACTACGTCGACCTTGCAGTTATTTCACAGGAGATTGTCAACCGTGTGTACTCACTGGATTGCGTTTCCATTCCATGGGGCCACATTGAGAACCGCATTGGTGAGCTGCGAGCCCGCACTGACGTGTGGTACGCCAATCTCCATGAGTCCTATGATTTCACTCGACGGGAAGACCAGCCAGCAGATACCTTGCGTGGCAAGCTATTCCTCGCCTTCCACTACTACAGCGCGCGCATTACGCTAGGACGACCGTGTTTATGTCGCCGTGACGCACGACAGACGGCGTCTAACAAGAAGGAGACATTCAGCCATGAAATGGCGGTGATATCACTAGACTCTGCCCGAAAGATGCTCGACTTGATCCCTGATGTGCCTGACGCTGCTCGTCTCTACGATATTTGCCCGTGGTGGTGCATTCTGCACTATCTTATGCAGGCAACGACCGTGCTGCTGTTGGAGTTGTCTTTCGGCAGTATTCATATGCCAGATGAGGAGGTAAATTTTCTACACGCCGCCAAAAAAGCCATTCGCTGGCTCTTCGCAATGTCTGAGAACAGTCTTGCATCTCGACGCGCATGGGAGTTATGTTATGGCAGCCTCCGGCAGATTGCTGCAGGTATGAGCTACGACATTAGTGACTTGCCCGTGTGTGGCTATGAGGCTCAGCCTCGGGCCCAGGATCAGAGCCAGGCGCTCAACGGTACACAACCTGGCTATCCGAACCAGCCGGAACAGTCCATACACGCGGGACCAACCTTCTACAACCCTGCGGCATCAGATATGAACAATTCAGCCTCAGCTCCTCTTCAGATGAATCAGCAACCCAACATGTTGTTCGCTCAGATCGACCAGCCTTTCCAGGGCTTGGCGATGCCAGCTTCCAACCCGTTGTCCACGAATTCGGAGTTGAACTCCGGTCCCGGGGACTCGTATTTCCCGTACGATCCGATCAGCGGGGAATTCATCCGCTCATTCTTCCCTTCCTCTACCGATGAGAAACCATGGGGTGAAACGTGAATGTCCTTGGTTGTTTGCTTGGAGAGCGCAACCTTGCCATTCGTTGTGGCTATTTCGCGCCTGATGATTATTGTCATCCCCATTCCGTGCGAGCCAGCCATGCTCTATACCTCTTGTCTATTGGGATTGACTCTCAAGTCTTTTTTTCCTTCTCTTTTCTCTTTTCTTTTCTGTTATTGAAAGTATGTTTATGGCATGTATTTCTATCAACGTCTACGATATCACGCAGGGCGACTGGTGTTTTATAGGGTGTGATGGATAGAACCGGGTGATACAGGCTGGAACTGGTGGCTACTGCAACGATACACGAGATGGGATAGAGGTGACCGGAGCTTTAGGGTCTAATTGGCTTTTTATAGGATGATATTTTATTGTGTACTGAAATACAATGGACCTCATCATATCTCTGTTATAAATTCCATCCATCGATCTAGACCGTGATATGAATATGCCATGCTGTGATTGGCTGACCGCAACACGCTGACTCAGCAGGATGAATTTCCCCGGCGAAGCTTTTCTCTTCGGCGGCGACGAAAAGCATCCAAAGCTTTCGCTTCCCTCCAACAGCTTCCCCCCAAGTCGCCGGTTATTACCAGGCCCACGCCTTGTCCGCTCAGCTCGAGGAATGCCGACCCATCTCAACGATTAGACATGCGCCACAGAACGTCCGTCCGACGGTCACATCGAGATTTGGATTTCCTCCGCCCGCAGGTCTCCTCCGCTACCTCCTCCGTCGTGTCATGAAAAGGTGCCTGAGTCCAGCTCGTCTGCCGTGCCTGGACCGCGGATCTTCCTCCGTCCTCCACCCTTCGATCCTCCGTCGTCTCGTCCCCCGACACACACTCGCGTCCGCAAGCCGGGGACCTTTCCCCGATAGGCGACGACAATGGAGTCGCCGCCAGTTCTCCGTCGGGGCCGGTCCTCCGATCAATCGCCAATTGCTGCAAGACTATGTTAGGGTGGAAATGAAGAGATGTCCTATCGCAGGACCAGATCAGAGTGATCCGGAGGCTTGGATTGCAAGGCTGGATCAGTACCTGCCACCTTCGTTGCGGAGAGATAGCGACGGTGGTCATACAAACAGTGACGATGTTTCGGATGACAATGTGGTTCGAACCGATTCAGCAGCTTATTTTGCGCAGACGATTGAATTGGCTAATTTACTGTTGCATGCGCGGGATTCCGGGAAGATTGATTTGCTGGCGTATGTTGGTTTCCGGTTGAATAATTGGCCCGCTGTGCAGTTCTTGATTAATCGTTTGCTTGATGCTGCGGACTCGCTTAAGGAGGTCACGATACCTTCTAGACCTTTGTCTAGCTATGATTGGGGTCTGGGACAGGGGCTCTCGCTGGATGAGCTGACGGATAGGTCTGAGTCGCAGGCTCCGAAAATTCCGCAGGCGGCTTCGAACGCCCTGCCGGTGTCGGATATGACGAGCTTGGATGCTTTCACGGAGCGGCCGTATGCGGATGACCATTCGAAACGATTTATGGCTGAGGTGTGGCAGAGCTTGGGGTCTATCGTGCTGGAGGCTGCTGATGCTTCGCCTAACGAGTCGAAGCTGGCTATGTCTCATGTATTTCAGATCCTAGCTCGGCTGCACCACTCTGATGCTATCTCCGATAGGGTGTATAAGTACGTCCCGCCGGATAGTCATCAAGCTACCTTCCGACCTCCGGGAATGCATCTGCTTTCCAGTCATATCATGAGTGTCCTGTCTGACGCTGCGTGGCTGGTTCATGAAGCGGAGGTTGCTGCTAAAGCGGCTGCTGCTGGCGAGGATTCGCCTTATCTTCCGTTCAAAATGGGGGTTCGTGAGCTTGGGCCGGAGATTTGGCTGGAGTTTATCCTCTGGTGCTGTGTCGAACATGGTCACATCGAGGAGGGAGTATGGCTAATTGATCGAATGACAAGCAAGGCAGGAGATCAGGCCTGGAAGTTTCAGAGCTGGAAGCCCTTACTCGATGACTCTGGGTCGGTCTGGCAGACTAAAGTCGACCAGGAAGAGACTTGGCGACAGCCCGGCCACCAGGAGCGCTCTACGATGCTGCGAAAGCGGCATAGTCCGACGCCTTTCCGCGGGCTCGGAAAGCGAACCATGAGTACTGAAGTGGCCGCGGCCTTGCTGGATAGCCTTCCCAATCAGGTATACCTAGGCCTCGGTTTCAGAGGTATGTCACCGAGCGCCCTCTTGCGCTATGCTTCTAGTCTCAAGTTCGCGATTGCCCCGTCAACGGACGACGGCAAATTACTGCCCACGCGCAGAACATCGAACTGGTTCACCGTGCGGGTTGTGGAATCAGGAGGCCTCAAGCCGGAAGCCGACCCCCGGATATTCGAAGACTTCCTTCGGATCACGCCGTGCGTCGTTCCGCCCTGGGATACCGACCTCCACCATGTAAATGAAGATGCGTTGACCCGAATGAGCCCGTCACAGCTGTACGATGACACAGCTGCCTTGGTTGGCCTGATCGAGTACAACATCCGGTTCTATTCGTCGAAGCGTTTCTGCGGTGACGCCCTGAACGCATTCTCCTGGCTGCAAGCCATCGTCGACAGCAGCAAGATGCAGCGCATCGACGAATTCTTCTCTTCGCGCGTTGATCGACCTGGCGTCGTGCTCCCTACCCTCGACCTTGATGATTTGAATTCCGCCGAACCCTTCGAATCATCCATGCCGCAACTGTCCAGCGTCACCCTGGCCGAGCTGATCGACCTAATCACCGTATCGCGCGCCTTCTCATTCGGCAACTGGCTCTTTTACTCCGACGACATCGACGGCCCCCCAGTCCCTCCCCGCTCTTATGGCGACCAAGCCCTAGCTCCGTCCATTATCCGCTACGCTACAGCCACCCGGAATGCGGCCCTCTGCGACGCAGTCGTTCAATCCCTCTCCCAACCTCTCTCCTCCAACACCCTTCGCGCACTCCTCAACTCCCGCATCGCTTTACACCAATGGGACGCAGTCACCAAACTCTTCGAATACCTCCGCGACTACCGCGCCAAATCCTGGGGCCAGAGCAACGCCACCGCGCTCGCAGCAGAGATCATCCGTCTCGAGCACACCATCTACCGACAACAACCACCCCCAGACCCCTCAACCCTCCAAGATACCACCACCTCCCTCACCCGCGCCAAAGACCTCCTCTCCCGCCTCCTCACGGGCGTCTATAACGAACCAACCCACATCGCCACCTCCCGCTTCCAAGAACGCGCCATCTCCGGCCTCCACAACATCTTCCTCTCCATCCCAGGCACCCTCCACGACCTCGCCGCCTCCCTCTCCAACTCCCTCCCCCACAACAAAACCACCACCACCACCACCAACAATACCTCTCGCAACGCCATCCCCTACATCCCCACAACAGCCTTCCACACCCTCCTCTCCGCCATCGTCGACACCCGCGGCAGCGCCGCCGGCCAACGCTTCTACGACAAATGGTGTCTCGACACGAAGTCCCCCACCTCGCGCCGTCTCCAAGAAGGAGGCATCGAGAGATTCTATCTCGGCAAGGAGCGGAACCCCGCGAAGGGCGATCCGCACTTCGATGCCAAGTACTTCAAGCGTGCGAGGGAGAAGGCCACGATGCCAAACCCCATGACGGTGAGGATTATCGCGCAGGCTGCTGTGGCGGAGTATTATGGCTTTGAAGGCCAGGGCGGTGTGAAGAGTAATCCTGCTGAAGAGGTTCTGGATTTCTGTATTAAGAGGTTCGAGGCCTTTGGGATGCGGAGACGTGAGATTAATCGCGAGGTTGGGGGGATTGTGTATAGGAGACGGAGGGAGGGGGGGAAGTTGAGGAGGGAGAAGGAGAGGAAGGAGAAGGAGAAGGAGAAGATAGATGCTTTGGCTGTCTGATTGAGCATTCGAAAGGGGGTGTATCTATACCATGATTGATCTGTCTGTTGTGTGTGTGTCCTTTTGGAGGTTTATGTATTATTTTGGTTTTGGGAGATATATATGCATGGGTTGTTTATAGATGAGCGATAATAGATTACTGTATTATACTTCTTACTACTTACTGAATCTGCATTTATGTGCTTATTTTTACAGATATGTACTGTTGGATCATAGTCGTAGCAATATGTACTATTTCTGTTACGGTCAGTTGAGATAGATGATAAATTATCCATCCCCTTATGAACTAGTTTGCACTAGAGATAGAAGCATTATGAGACAGCTGTAAAAGGCATGGTATGTACACCCACATCTAGCAAATATCAACACTAATGGCGCATTTGAACATCAAAGGTATCATGAACAATATAGAAACCACAACCGAACATCCCAAAATACCCATAACACATAATCCCAACCAGCTAGCTCCCAATAGCGCCCCAGTAGTAGACAACGATATCAGCAGAATGAACAAATGTTTGTGACACTGCGACTCCAGAGCTTCCCGCAATCATCAATCATCATACTCGAACCGTCATCGTGGCGCGGAATACACAGAAATATCATTTAGAGCTCCTCCTCCTCGCCAACTCCCATCTCAACGTCCTCATCAGCATACTGCATGTCACCACCCAATTCCTGCTCGACTTCGTCGACAACAAAGCTCTCGTAGTCTTCCAAGCCCTTTTGGACATGGACCTTGAAACGGATGACATCGTTCAGCATGCTTTCAACATTGGTGTGCAGCTCCTCTCTCAAAGCGTTCGCGCGGAGGGTCAATTGCTCATACTCAATGTTCGTGTTCATCTCGCGCTGCTCCATCAACTGAACGCTTTCGCCCAACGTGGCTCGCATCTTGGCCAGCTCCTTCTCCATCTTCTCAATCTGTGCATCCGACGCGAGCTTCTGCGTGGTGGTGACCTCCTTGAGCCGCTCGAATTCCTCTTCGGCGGCACGTGCCTTGTGCTCCAGAGCCTCAACCTCGCTTCGCTTCTCGTCCATTGCTTCCTTGATGTTGTCCAGGAGATTGCGTCGTTCCAAGTCATCATCAATGGCACGCTTCCGGCGCTCGTTGATCTCCTTCCGGAGGGCCTGCAGATTGCTGCGCACAATGCCGCGCAGATCGAGGTTGAGCAAGTGTGCAGGGTGATAGCCAGTGAAGGGGTCCGCCAATAGTCGATCTCCATCGGTTGAGATTCGGTTCGCTAGACCACCGACCTGAGAGGCGGAGAAATTGCTCTCGTTGACGTTGAGACTAAGTTCGTAATCTTCGCTCTTGGCATTGACAGCTGACGAAGGAATCAAGCTATTCTGGTATCCGAGTGTGTTGTAGACTTTGACGATCTCCTCCAGATCTTCGAGTTTCCTACTAGCCTCGGCCTCCTTTGCCATGACCCGCGCGTGGGTCTCTTCCAATCGGTTGACTGTATCGTCAAGATTCCTCTGCAGGCGCTCACGTTCCGTGTTCATGCGGTCGATATCCTGGATTGTCAGGCCTTGTTGGTCAACGCTGGCCTGAAGCCCAGCCCGCTCCTCTTCGGCGGCTTGCAGGTCATCTTCCGTCTTCTTGAGCTCGTCATCCAAGAATTTGATGCGGGTCTCATATTTCTCGATTTTGCCCTGGACGTTTTGGTTGTAGTCTTCGAACTTCCTCTTGTCGTCCTCCAAGATCCTGAAATGCTTGTCCAACTTGGCCATGTCCGGAGCATTCTTCTCCATCTCTTCGATCTGGTCACGTAGCGCTCGGTTTTCGGCTTCCAAAGATTCCATCTCCTGAATGTATTTCTCATTTCCTCTCTCAAACTCCTGGGCCATCATCTCAACATGAGGGACTAGTCTCTTCTCGGCCGTCGCGTCATCCTCATCTTCCCCGCCTTGCAGCCAGTCGTGGTAGGCACTTGTAAGAAAACGGAAGATGATCCGGTCACCAGACACATCGACTCCCATCTCTGCGCAAGCCTCATCATATTCCCCGAGCAGATATCTATCCATCATCTGGGCCAGTTGCATCAGCCAATGCAGCATACCGAGGAAAGTCGGCCAGTTCTGGCCCCCCACAGCCGCGATCTGCGACTTGGTGATACCCTTTTCGTAGGGATAGCGTAGTTGCTTGAGAATGGGTGGAACCTCCGCGTCCATGCTCTTCTGAAACTTGTACCCAGGATCAATGCGATGATACAGCCACTGGAAAATGTAGTTGAAATCTTTCTGTGTAGGAGAGCGTAAGGTATTCTGCCCAAGTGAATGCTTCATCTCGAGCTCAAAATTGTTGTGCGTCAAGTATTCCAACAGCTCTTGTCCGATGCGAGCTTGGAAAGACCTATCCCTGAGCGGCCGTGGGTCTCTGGGGACACCAGCAACTGACGGGACTTGAGTAAAGAAAGAATGGTGACCCATGGCGCCACCCACGGATGGTCGTGAGAAGACACTACTCCTTCGTTGCAATCCTTGCGACCCTGCTGTGCTTTGCGACGACATCGGGCCGGGAGCAAAGCTTGGGCGCCCGACACTAGGGCCATGGAACATGTTACTGGAGACGGAGCGTCTGACTGATGAGAGACCGGCATCGGCACCAAAACCTCCACCTGAAGAAGACCGCTGGAAGTTGGGCTGTTGAGGACGACTGGCGGAGTTGAGAAGCGACATACGCGTGTGCTGAGACGTGAAAGGAGGGTTCTGGTATCCGATTGAGCTGGTGCGCTTCAAGGCCGAGGAGGGTTGCGGAAGAGCAGAGTAATTTTGGCTACCCATCGCCATAGACTGAGACAGCTAGATTAGTATTATACAAGAGGGGCAAGCCTGAAGGAAGCAAGGCACATACCTCGCGGGGGCGCCTGATGCTGAACAATCCTGTATCCTGCGACATGATGACGGAAAAAGCCGCGACTGCGGCGGGCAATCACAACCCTAGCAAGCGCAAACTCTTGAAAAACGGCTGATTTGCAAGGGGTATGCGATTTGTACCAAAATCGATATATCCAGAAGAGGCGCGACACCAAGTTGGCGACGGAGGCGCAATAGGAGGCGGGAGAGTTGTGGATGGCAGTAGCAACCGAGCGGGCAGCAATAATCATAATAATCAAAGTAAACAAGACATGCCACTTTCTCTCGTACCAACAAAGTAGGCGGTGAAGTCCAGAGAACAACTGCCGGATTGGGCCAGGCGCTATCACGAGACTCTGGGGAAAGTCACGGGAATCTCCGCCGCGGTACGAAACCAGAACCACGTAAATTACCAGCGCTACTTCCGAGGTCCGTCTGATTTGGGAAGGGCCGCTCCATCGCCTCCTCATCCTGTGTCTCTCTTCTCCCCTTCTCCTCATCGTTCCTTGCTCTCGGATCCTTCCCCCAACACTCCTCCTCGCTAAGAATAACCCTGTTACCACCCAGTTAGAGCTACTGCTCCTGGGAAAGTTGCCCATCATGGTTCGCGAGGAGCTTATCTCCTCTGCTGTAAGTGCCGCCTTTATCTATGATTAATATCTTGTTGCCGGAATCGGAGCTGACCCTCACGCTCGATCGCTAGGTCACCTGTATGTGCTCAACACTCCCATTTTCATGTTGATTCATGTGCTCGTCTAATGTCTCTGCAGTCCTCCAAGACCCATCTGTCGCCGCCTCGCCAATTGAGAAGCGAGTCGCATTTCTCCAGTCAAAGAACCTGACTAAAGAAGAGATCGATGTTGCGCTCGCCCGAGCAGGTGAAGATCCGTCTACAGCAGCTGCCGCAGTAACCGCATCATCTGGCTATCCATCGCCTCCCCAACAAGCTGTCTACCGACCTCCTCCTCCACCTGCTGCAGGCTATGGATATCCTCCTTATGCTCAATGGCAGGCTCCGCCAGAGTGAGTCTCGATTTTTGCCCATTTCATACTGTATTCAACTAATCTTGCGTCGCAAGGCCCCCGAAACGGGACTGGCGTGACTGGTTCATCATGGCTACGGTGATGGGAGGAGTAGGTTACGGACTCTACACGATCACCAAGGTCGGTGTCTCATTACTCACATTGCTCGATCAATTGAAACATGCTGACATTGGTTAAGCGCTATATCTCACCTTTAATCGCACCCCCCACTCCACCCCAGCTTGAACAAGACAAGGAACACATTGATGAGCAATTCAATCGCGCATTTGCCCTGATCGAACAACTGTCCACAGATACTGCCGCACTGAAGTCTGCGGAGGAGACGCGCACAGAACGGCTAGACACCGCGCTGCGGGAGGTTGAGAACCTCGTCTCTGACATGAAGAACGCCTCCCGACGGAGGGACGATGAGACCCGTCGTATCAGCGACGAGGTCAAGTCACTGAAGGATGCGATCCCCAAGGCGCTGGAAGGCGCCCGGGAAGGCAATGAGACACGGTTGAAGGAGCTTGGTGCTGAATTGAAGAGCCTGAAGGTCTTGCTGGGCAATAGACTTGGTGGCAGCGGCAACAGCGCCACCTCCCCTGCTCCTGGACGGTTCAGCGGTATGAGCATTCCTACTGCTTCTCGGCCTGCGGAGGAGTCAACTCCCGCCGCTACGACCCCGGTCAACGGTACGCCCGCCGCGCCAGCATCAACCGAGCAGCCCTCTCAATCAGCACAGCCAAGCGCGAGCCCTAGCACTACCTCGGCGAGCAACAGCCCTCTGTCGCACCTGGGCCGTTCTGCTTCCATTCCTGCCTGGCAGATGGCTGCTGCCAACCGCTCCAAGACCGCATCTCCCTCGACCCCTTCCACCAGCACTCCGGACAACACGGCTAGCGCGGCTCCTGAGTCGAGCGCCCCGGCTAGCTGAACACATACCAGATACTTTGAAGATTTCACTTTCCAGCGAACTGCATTGTTCCAATCTTGTAATTAGATGGAGGTTATCGAACGAACTTTACGCATGAGATGTCTAGGCGTTGTGGATGGTGCGGAGGATGTACAGTATGTAGCACGTGAAAGTACCATGTCGCAACACCACTTCTACCCATAGGTATCCCGATTATATACAAAAAAGAATCTTAGAAACAGCATGCTCGTTCAATTCCTCTAGACCACGAAACAGAATAAAGCCACAGGGCAGACCCGCTCTTATCAGTCGATAGAGATTCCATGATTGACGCCCATCCGCCGCACCCAAAAGCTTGGCATTTCGACGTCAGTCCCGTTCACCTTCACAAGTCTCACCAATATTCTGCACCTTATGACAATTCTCAGATATGGACAACCCCCACCCAGAAAGAACCATGTCCACCCGCGACTCCTACTCCCACTCACGCTCCCACCGAGATCGCACCCACTCCCACACCCGCTCTCGCACACGCTCACGCTCTCCCAATCGCGATCCTACCTCTAGATCCGACAGACACCGCAACAGCAGACATCACCACCACCACCGCCATCACCATCACCGACACGACCGCCACCGCGACCATGATCGTGATCGCCACCGCCGTGATCGCCATACCCCCCGCTCAAAAGATCAACCAGAACCGGCACCAGCAGCCCCCATAGTCCTTCCCTTCAACTCGCGCGAACTCACCAAATATGACCTGGAGCACTACGCCCCTATGTTCGATATGTACCTGGACATTCAGAAGGGGATAATTATGGATGATTTGCCGGAGGATGAGGTGAAGGGGAGGTGGAAGAGCTTTATGAGGAAATGGTAAGCAGATTACGGATTTGGTTCTTTGGATGGGTAGATATATGCGAGGGCGGGATTTGGTTGACATAGTGTTACTACAGGAACCGCGGAGAGTTAGCAGAGGGGTGGTATGACCCTGCTACGTTGGAAAAGGCGAGGACGAATATTGCGCAAATGCAGGCGCAGACGAGTACGAATACAGGTTATCGAGGCGAATCGCAACAGAATGAGCGTGGGGATGAGACTCGAGATAGGGATGTTGAAGGGGAAGAGGATGAGGACGACGATGAATACGGCCCGGTGCTTCCATCTACATCTGGGCGTGGTGGAGGTCCGTCCTCGGGACCTACGATACCTACGATGCAGGATTTGGAGTTGCGGAAGGGTATGTCTCAGTCCATATTTACTGAGACTCTTTTGTCCGCCAGATGGTGGTAAAAAGGTCTACTTGATACGGGCATGAAAGCTAACGACGAGCAGAACTAGCAGCCGAAGACGCAGTTGCGGCACGTCAAGACTCGCGCGCCCAATATCGCAGCGAACTGCGCTCACACAAGTCCGAGGTCAAATACTTGCAGGAGGAGGTAGCGCCGCGCGCGGAACCGGGGACTCATGAACGGCGCATGGAGAAGCGACAAGAGGCCGCGGCGAGTAATCGCGCCTTTGCGGAGGCAAAGCGTGGGGGATCTCCAGAGGCAGCGCCGGAGGAGGAGTTGATGGGGTCTGGAGAGAATGATCTGGATTCATTGAAGAAGACGAAGGAGAGGGAGCAGCGGAAGAAGAATGAGCGGGAGATTCGCAGGGAGGAATTACTCCGGGCACGGGCGGCGGAACGTGAGGAGAGGCTGCAACAATATAGACAGAAGGAGGAGGAGACTATTGGGTGGTTGAAGACATTGGCTAAGCAGAGGTTTGGGTAATCCTTCTGTCTTGGTTTTTATGCTACTAGTGTTATGATCGGGCATTGGCTGTAGACGGGATGTCAATGAAATATAGCCGCGTATCCCTGTCAATTTCTTGCCTACTTATCATCCACACTGCTGCTGCATCCTTAGTTTGCATAGAGGCGGCCACTTCTTAACTGGTCTTGCTATCATTGAGTCCTTGATTCTGGATACTCTGATGATCACATGTTCAACTAGACGTACTTCTGTTTCCAAGCAGGGACATCATCCAAAGTATCACATTCTAAGAACGATGAACCAATGCCCAGCCGCGCCCCTTTGTCGCTACAGTTATATCCAATACACCCAAAAAGCCCTAAAGCAACCATACCGCCCAATCTCAAGGGCATCAACGCTTTCCTACAATGTCACTCCCACTAGCAGAACCTCCTCTCAGACAGGTAAACAAGCCACCCCAACACAACCCAACCGACTCTAATCACTACTAGACTGGAACAACCACGATGAATTCTTCAAATTCACACGAGGCCGCTTTCTCGTCGATGAAGCCAAAAACCGCCGCATGCGCGAGATCCAATTCGACATGAACAGCCTCGCCCGTGTCGCAGCAGAATCAGTCGGAGCCACTCACTGCACCTCCATACAGAAGTACCCCGACGGCATGTTCAAGAAGGCCTTTCTCATGTCGATGGACAATGGCCGCGAAGTCGTAGCCAAGGTTACTAATCCGAATGCTGGTATTCCGCATCTACGACAGCTAGCGAGGTTGCTACCGTGGACTTTGTAAGTATATCCTAGCTTGTATTTATGCATGCGAGGTCTAGCTAACACAACTTGATCCTGGGAGGCCAGAAACGTACTTGAAACACCAGTGCCTCGCGTCTACACATGGAACTCGAATGCACAATCACACCCAGTCGGGGCTGAGTTCATCATCATGGAGAAAGCTGCCGGCGTTCCTCTTTCTCATGTCTGGGAGACACTGAAACTACCTCAGAAGCTCCAAGTGCTTCTTGCCATGATACGTCTACAAAAGAAATGGCTGAGTGTGTCATTCTCGCATTATGGCAGCTTGTACTACGCGAAAGACATCCAAGCATCACCACCAGAAGACACCCACTACATCAAGAACGACAATTCGCCATCGGCCCTACCACAGGTCGCGATTGGTGCGATGCGAGCCGCTCACTTTTGGATATAGATAGAGGACCATGTACACACTACATCAGAATCCCTATCAGCCGCGAGCAGTCGCTGACCCGTTTATAGGGCCCGATATACAGCAATTTCTGCAAGCAGTCGGGACACGAGAAACAAAAGCAATCCAATCCCTGCACCCACCGAAACAACTAGCCCTATTCTGCGGCCCAAAGCTCTACCAACCATGCCCCCAAACCAAACTCACAGCCTTATCCCACTACCACCAAATCCTCGAATCCCTCATCCCAAACGACACAGCCCTCACCACCCCTCACCTCTGGCACAACGACCTCCACAACGACAACATCTTCATCGACCCGCAGAACCCCGAATCCATCACCTCCATAATCGACTGGCAATCAACCCACATATCCCCGCTCTTCACCCACAATCCCGATCCGGCCTTCCTCGACTGGACAGATGGTCTTCGAGCCCGAGACGCTCGACCTACTACCTAGACCAAATCTCTCCGGTCTCACTCCCCAGGAAAGAGCCGCAGCAGTGCGCGAATACACCACCCAGAACATATTCATCGGATGGCGCAAGCTCACGCGCGCCAAGAACCCAGCTCTATATCGAGCTATCGAGTTCAGAAAGACGCCCGCGTACAGGTTGATATTCCTCGCTCATCGGATGTTCGAGTATGGCGAGGCGCAATTCATGTCGCTGCTTGTTGATATGAGGGATCATTGGGGAGATTTACCAGGTACCGGTGACGTCCCGTTTCCGTTTGAGTTCACAGATGCGGAGATCGAGCGTATTAAAGTGGCATGTGATGGGGCGGTGGCGGGGACGGAGCTTGTCGCTGGGGTGAAGGAGCAATTGGGCGATTTGTGGCCGGATAAGGGGCTTATTGAGAATGAGAGGTATGAGGAGTGTAGGGCTGCGCTGGGGGAGGTTAGGGATCGGATTGTGGAGGAGTTGGCGGAGAGTGAGGAGTATCGGCGGTGGTGGCCTTTTGATTGAAATAGTCCAGAGGGATATGTTTGTTCGTTGGTAGGATAGAGAATCCGTTCTTATGTACTATGATGTTATTTAAAAAAAATCCAAACCTTTTTCTAGTCCTCTACCTCTATCTACCAACCATTCCCAGTAATCCAGCACCCCTTTTATATATAAGTAAAAAGATAACCATATTAGTAAAAACGCCATATAGCAACATAACCAGAATCAACTGAACAAAGAACAAAGAAGGCAAATAGATCAAGCCTTCCTCCCCAAATCCACATCCCTAACCAACTTCAACATCTCCGTCCCCTTACTCACATCCCCATCCTCCTGCAACCCAAAGAACGGCTTGACAGCTACATCGACCGTCTCCTCAAACAACTTGCCCACAACCAACTCCTTCAGATCCTCACCAGTCTGAGCGAAATCCGGATAGGCGTTCAACTCCAACAACCAAGCATTGCCCTTCTTATCGACCAAAAAGTCCACACCGAAGAGTTCAAACGCATTTGGCAGAGTCTGGAAATGCACCATCATGCCCCTCGCCGCAGCCTCGAAGATCTCGCCACTCACGGCGCAAATCTGATCAAAGACGTTCTGTTTCCATGTATCGCTGAGACCGGGGACGTAGTCTTCTAGGTTCCAGAAGCGACGGACGCTGTCGGGGTTAGCACGGCCGTTTTCCTGGAAACAGGTGTTGGTGAGATGGCGGGCGAGGTCGGTGACTTCGTCTTCGTCTTCGAAGGGAGGACAGTAGGGCTTTGCGGCGAAGAGGGCGAGCATTTCCTTGAAGACATAGATTTTGAGGGAGCCGACGGCGAGGACGTAGGTGCGGATGTGGAATTTGCGGTTGTGGGAGGAGGGGATGAGGAGTGGGGGGTCGATGTAGGGTTGGGCGATGAAGTGGCGGAGTTGGGAGGTTACGACGCCGTGGTTGTCGTCTTCGTCTTCTTCTTCGTTGTCTTCGGGCTCTGGACGCTCGGAGCCGCTTTCATCGTCGGAGTCGGGCACTTCCCATTCTTCGAAGATCTCGCGCAGCCCGTCTTCGCTGTTGAAGAGGCGAATGCCTTGGCCGCGGTCGCTCATGCCGGGTTTGAGAATCCACCATTCTTTTTCTTCGTCGGGGAGGGTTTCGTTCTTGGCGAGGCTGTCGCGCAGCTCGTAGGCCTCGAGAAGGGCGTCGTCGAGGAATTCGGCGTAGTCGAGCTCGAAATCGAAGCCCGGCTTGAAGTGCTTGGCTAGGACGCTGTCTGGGTGTTTGGTCACCCAGTTGATGACGGTGTTGGACAGGTAGTGTTTGCGGATGAGGGCTTTGCGGATGATGTAGGCGTTGGCGAGAGAGGTGGAGGTGTGCATCATGACATGCTCGAAGTCTAGCCGTTCGTATTCGCGGTACTGGAAGATAGGTGTAGTGCGAGAGGGAAGGTCAGCGAGAGATGAAATGGCGCGACATTGACCATTTCCAAGACGACGCTGGAGCGCCCGCTCCATCAGACTCTGAACATAGGAGTCGTCGCTGTCGACGAGAGAATAGAAGGTAGGCTCAGTGTTATTATCCGGTCTACATGAGATGGAATCTATCAGAATACCAGCCATAACAGACAGACCAAGATAAAGTGGTAGCAAAAGTATCAGTCAAAGGGGAGCAGAGCGCGAGATGCATAAACTAGCTTGTATATCTGACAGACGCGCAAATTCTATGTTATATGCAACCACGCCGCGACTCAGCATCATTCCACTCACAGCGTAATCTCTCCTTGAATTCCAGGGGTATGCATGAAATTGGCTCGAAGCGGCGTAACACTGTGACGTATTAGCGGATTGGCCAGCAAATTGATAGGGTCTGTACAAACCTGGTCATGCCCTCCTTGACAGCCCAGCCGTCGTTCCCTGGAGCACCCTCCTCCACACTTCTGTACACATCCGAGAAGTTTGGCGCCCACTCGAAGTGTTTGTGTTGGATGCGAGATCTCTTCAATGGGCTCGTTCCATCCACGGCTGATGGCGCCTTCTCTCCCGCGGGCACAGTCTGGTGTCGCACGTCGTGCTCCTGCTTCTCAGGCGAGTTGGCCGAGGCCGAGGCCGAGGCATCGACCGCGCGGAAACAGCTGCCCGATGACCAGCGGTTATCAAGCATGTTGGTGTACAGCACCTTGTTCTGGCTCACACCAGGCTCCAGCGGGACATTGACAGTATATAGATCCACACCATCGGCCCAATTCTTGCGGAGGTACTCGATTAACCGAACGGCATGACGCGATGCCTCCGCGATGACAACGGGATCATGGTCCCTGGAGCTAAAGGCGTACGACAGTGCGATCGCGGGCTTTCCGCAGACTGCTGCCTCCATAGCACCGCCAATGGTTCCACTGGACAGGGCGAAGAGAGCAGTTGAATTCCGGCCGTAGTTCGGACCGGACACCACGAGGTCAATCGGGCCACGGTCTTGGAAGTAGTGGTACAGGCCAATCTGAACACAACTGGCCGGTGTGGAGTCCACAAGAATCCATTCATCTCCATCGTAACTGTCATCATCGCCCTCATTCATGCCATGAGGGAATTCGTGTGTGGTCCCATCGTCTTTGTGCAGAGTACCGGGACGGAAGTAGGTTGGCTTCACGGCGGCCCCAATCAAGTGGGCTTTACCGATCCATGATCGCTGCTGGTGGGGGAGAACGACAGATACAATGTGCCCGGCAGACTGCAACGATTGGACGAAGGAATGGATGTACGGCGAGGACTGGTTGGACGGCGGGCCGTCGTCGTTGACAACCTATAGGCGGAGGATGGTGATCAGCATGAGTTCAGAGGGGGATTGGGAGGAAATAAATCTGGTCTTGCTCCAGAAGAGGTCTTCGAGAATAAGATAGGCCACTTACTAAGATATGCATTGTATGGGCGTGAGGAGTCTGGAGCGAGAGAGACAGGGGCTGAGGAGAGAAGGAAGAGAGGGTGGAGGGGCAGGCAAAGGCAGAGTTGGGCGGCAGCGATATTCCCCCGCCTTTCCATCTCTTCCTTCTCCACCCGTTATCGATAACTACTTTGCCTTAACTATATTCCTCGCTTCATCTGCAGTCCAGTACTTATCAACATTCAAACCAGTACACAACTGTATCATATTGGGTATCTCGAAAGGAATAGCTACAAGGCCTATCTCTGTTACTCTTGAATTATATGGCTTCGCCGTCTTTGCACTCCTCGGGCGTGAGCACTCTCCCTGGCTGTGCCTGAGCCAGAAGCCTCCAGAGGTTCTTCGCCTCGGCCATCTTCTTCGTCCCCTTCAAACAATATTTTGTTTAGGGCAATTTCATCTGCACTTTCCCCATTATTTTCCTCGTCCTCTTCCTTCACGGCATCCTCAGGCTCTATTGCCCTCCTTTTCCCCGCTGCCTTGGAGGATTCCGCAATCGGTACATCGGAAAGCGGCTCGTCAATTTCCTCCTCTTCTTTCTTGATGAGGGGTGTAGCGCTGCGATCCTCCTCCTTAACAATAGGACCGGATGTGTCATCCCGACTGCTAAGAAGCGATGCTAGAACCAGCCATGCGAGCCCTGCAGAAGCCATGCTGATGCTCCAGAACAGGAACCCGAAGACAACAAATGAAGTGAGCCTCCAGTTATACATTGCCCAGCTAACCTTCCTATCAGCATCATCAAGAAAACGAGAGTATAAGGGGTACCAAGGACATACCGCAAGCCCGTAAACCGCGCCCGGAACATGACCTTCGCTTTGTATACTTGCATTATCTCGGAGCTGTGCAGCTCCAAGCGCAAGCTTCCCGGTATGTTGCGCGAACCACGAGCGAACTGCACTCGTTCCATCATCGGCACTTGCAGCTTCTCCGCTTCGTGGTGCCATCCCAGCACATAAAACGGCATGAACGAGATCTTACTAGCGGTGTCCACCAACGGCGAAGCATAGGTAAGAATAGCAGGGCGGCGCGAGTGGGACAGAGTCGTAATCGAAGTGTTCGTATCCTGCGGAGCAGACGTGAACGGACGGGAAAGGAGGGCCAAATCTAGCATGAAATTTCCCGCGGCGAGATTGGAGGGTGTTCGTGGTAATTCGAGTTCCACCTGGACATCGTACGGCAGGGATGAAACCAGGTCTGATCCCAGGCTTGCGATTCCCCAGGGAGGTCCTTCGCTAGTATTCGGTAACAGAAAGAGTCAGTCATAAATCATAGACATTGGCCAAGGAAAGGTATCAATAGTTCAATGCCTGCTCGTAGTATAGACTTTCAACTCACCCAAACTGCAAGTGAACAATCCGTTCAAGGCCCGCCTGCGGGATGAACCTGTAGTAGAAGACCCCATACGCGACCGTCGAAGTGACGATCATGGCTATAGCTGTACAGAAGAATAGAAAGGCCCCTAGATATATCTTTTGGGCTCGTTTCGATACAAGTGGTCGGAGGTATTCTGTCACTGTGTGCTGCGTGTTTGCGAAAGTCGTTAGTTCCTGGTCTGCCATGATGGATGGGAGAAGAGAAGAGGAATTGGTACCATCACTTCTGACACGACGCCCCGATGAGGGTCTGCTCCACCGTCAGGATTCATGGTTCCTTAATCGATCTGTAAAGTTAGGGATTTGGGAGGTGCGGCGACAGGAGAACCGCCGCAACAATTGTTTTGTTCCGAAGAAGGTACGAGGATCGCGTCGACGTCACCGAGCAGCACGGCGCGGAGAATCTCCCCGACGCCGATCACCAATCTAAGTAAGGGACTGAACTGCTCCACAAACAATATGCTCTCTCACCATCTAGACCATCTCTCTACTGAGATCTGTTTTCTACGAATTCGTATGCACCGATACTCATGGACTCATCTTTTTTAGGATAAACTTATCGTTACAGACTACCGATGTGGTAGATGGAATGGATAAGAAAAAACACCAACATGAAGCGTAAGAGACACGAGCAAAAAGGAACAAGATATAAGCACCATGTAGCGATGGACCATGCTAACACGTCCTAATATGCATACCCCGCCCAGAAACCCAACCGAAACAATGAGAAT